GCAGCCCCACTGTGGTGGCAGTCTGGCAGGTATCTGGTACCGTGACCTGCAATGTGCGGTGCAGGTTTCACTCTGCTGGCAAAAACACCAGAAATTCAGAGAGATGGGCTCTTGTTTTCTGTTTATGAGTTTAGGGGTCTTAAATTACAAGGAAGTTTTAGCTTGGTTCTCATTTTTCATCAAAGTACTTCTTCGAAGCTTTGCACGTTCTGCTTTCCTGGTGGTGCTGCAGAGGAATCGGATGCTTTGGAAAGAGCTTGATAATGCCTTTACTCTTTACCTGCAGCATGGGCTGTTCTCTTTTTGTTTGCCAGTTTGGTTCTTTCCTGAAAAACTGATGGTGAAATGGGTTAATGTAAAGGGAAGGAGTAATAGTAATGCTGATATGTGTCCTCATCTCTCTCAAGTTATATCTGTAAATTAGAAATTGCACAAATATGGACAAGGACATTGTTAGAGTGACCTCTCCTTTGCCTCTAATGAGCATTGCAAGGTCTTTCAGGGTCCTTTTTTACTGTCTGTGCAGGGTGTTCAGCCAACAGTGTACACACTGAGAGCCCAGTTAACAAGGTAGCTTGTCCGTGTACAAAACCACTAGTATTTTCAAAGTTGTTTGAAACCTGTCCTAAACTGAGCCACTCAGTGTGGCAGCTTGTGCTAGAGGTTTAGTTCTGCATTTAAACATCAAACTGGGAAGAAACAAGAAGCAAAACCCCCAAATCCTGTCAGGAAAATAAAAGATTATAAATATAAATATAGGAATTTATTGCAAACTCCATCACCAGGGTAGGTCCTCTGAAAGATTTGTATCATCTGCACGATTGATACATGAAGTCTCCTTAATGAAACACTAGATCTGGAAGCTTTTATCTCAGGAAACCCTGAGTGCAATCTGTGTTTCCCCAATGGAATTGCAGATAATATCTGTTTTATCATATGGTCCTATTATCATATTATCATATGATTGGGTTTTACTATCCCTGTTCAAACTGGGTGTTAATGGAATTACATCCTGGCCTGTACAAGCAACAGTGTGACCAGCAGGACCAGGGCAGTGAGCTACCCCTGTACTGGGCACTGGTGAGGCCTCCCCTCAAATCCTATTTCCTTTCACCTCAAAGTTTGTTCTGGCCTTTTTCATGTGGCTAGTCAGTAATATGTACTAAAAGCATGTAGCCTTGGGTAAAAGATATAGTAGGAGCTGAACTATTCATATTTATGGCTGGGTTTGGTTGCGTTTTTTTCATTCTAAACTAAATTATTCTTCTGGTCATTGTTTTGAAATTGTTTCCTGTTGCTGGAGGCAGGCAAGGCACATGCTGGGGTGTCCATGTGCCATGGGGACACTTGGCTCAGCTCCTTCTCCAAGTGCTGGGCTTTTCCCATGCTGCTTGGAGAACCAGGGAAAAGCCACTTCTCGGTGGCTGAGCAAGGACCAAGGGTTGGAGCCACACATGTTCCCTCCAGGCAGTCCCAGCAGACACATCCCTACAGAAGAAGCAGTTGTGGCTGCTTTGCTGAGTTTTGCCCAGCTCTGAGTCCCTGGGCAGAGCTGTTACTACTCTGGATCACAGTGTGACTCTTGAGCTGCTCCAGAGTTAAATGCTTTTCAAGTACCTGAACTTGGCTAGCTGTCCTTGGATTTTTTTCTTTGCTGGGAACCAAGATTGAAATCATCAGGGGAAAAGGGTTTCTTTCGCTGTCATTTGTGTGTCCAGCTCTGTGAGACAGTGCCAGCTGCAGGACAGGAGCAGTCCTCTAATTTTCACTAATGAGAAATCCCTCCTACTCTCTCTTTCTGGACAGAAAAAACTGTCTTAAATTCCTTTAAAACAAAGACCTAATTCTGCTTTTACTGCCTGCAGTTTTAATTCTGCCTCAAAATTGCCATAGAGAGGGCAAAGCTGGATGGTGCCATTAAAAAGAAAATAATTATTCCAGAGTATTAAAGACTGGAACAAATTGCAATAACACTTTGTGAATGCCCAGGTCTGCTCAGAACAGATGCCAAGTCCCATCTCAGCAGGGCAGAGGGGGCTGGGATCAGGACCAGCAAACAGGCCACATCTCCACCATGAGTTTGGAGCTCAGATGGTCTCCCCCAGCTGCCTTTGCTGGTTTGCTCCTGTAACAGCCGTGACTTCTGTCAGCCCTTGGGCGCCGTGCAGGGAGCAGCATTCCCAATGACATTACGGTTGAGCTAACCCCATCTCAGAGGAGAAAAGCCAGAAGGACATAGGCTCCATATGCAAAGTAGCCATGGCCTTGGGTGCTGAGTTGAAGGGTTTCCTGGGGAGGTGGACCTCAGCCAGGAGCCTTGCTCACAGCAGGGAGACTGGAGGTGAGCACAGATGTGTAATGCACCATAACACGGAGTCACCACCCTAATAAATAGGAGCACGAGACCCTGGCTCTCTGCATGTACCTGTCAACACTCTCAATAAGCAAGTGCCTGCAAATATAAGGGCTGCTCCTCCTGAGTGCTTGGATTAAGCTCTGGTTTGCAGTGCATCATTTAAGAGGTTGCAAATATTTTCCGTGTGTTGAAATGAAATTATAAACAGATTGAGCCTGGGTACAGTAGATCCACTGGACTAAATCTGGCTAAGAAAAGCTTTCAGTTAAAGAATGGGGCTTAAGGGGGATGGGGAATGAGCTGGCATGGAGGGAAATTCTGTCAATTTAGCAAAAAATATTTTGTGGAAATATACTCTCTGCAAAGATTGAAGAAGAGTTTCCTTGTGCAGGAAAGCAAATTGTAAATTGGTATCTACTAAAGCAGTCTGTTGCTTGAATGTAACAAAAGTAACTTTATGAAACTACAAAACAGCACACACTACATTTTCATGGGAAATGTGCTGTATTCAGTGATATTAATTACTGTGTGGATCAATTTTCAGTGCAGTCAATCCACAGTAAACAAAGGTACTGCAAGGGAAATATAAAAAGACAGTCAGCTAATAGGAGCCATATTCAATAAAATTGTATCTGTCTTCAGTGTTCTCCCGTGGCAGGGCACAGGATGGGCTGGGCAGTGGGTGTAGGGCCAAGAGGGGTTTGGAGCAACACTGTGTATTCACAGATATGTATATAAAAATAAGTATATGTGGGAAATACAACCCCTGTTTTGAGAAACTAGGAAAGAAGGGGATTTAATTCAGGCTGCTGGTGGACTTCAGACCCAGGGTGAACTTCACCTTTCCTACAGTTTCAATTTAGTGCCAGTATGTTAGTAATCTGTTTGTTTTGTTTGCCTAGCACTTAATAGAAGGATTATCTGGTTTCTTTCTTTTTCTTCCAAGGTTGCTTTTTATTTTCTAAGCTGAATGTGTTCATTTTTAGTGGTAGCATTCTCTCCCATTCAGGCTCCAAACTTCCCTAGGAAGTGACTTCATGTTATTATTCAAGTAGATTATTGCCTGGAGTGGCTGAATTACCTAGTGTTCGTGTAATGGCCAGCTCTCAGTCCATATGCATTTAATGACTGTAATCATTTGTTATTTTCCCTTTATTAGGTTTGTTTTTAAAGAAAGTTTTATTGTGCTATTTATGATATGCTAAGTGGTGCAACTTGCTGAAGAAACATATTGCATACATTTTATTTTTTAATAGGTTTTGCTTGCTAAAATGGAAATCTTTTATTTACCCTAGCAGGGCAGTTTTTTGCTGACAGTTTTATTATTTCAATAGCTCAGACATTTCTTTCCTCTTTTGTTTCCTCAGATACTCCTCCAGGGAGTTTTAATGTGCCATTCTTTATTTAAGATTGGGTTCAGAACGTGTTATTTCTAGCAAGGCAGGGAAAAAGTGCAAGACAGCAGACATTAAATAGTGGGATGTCAAGGTTTTATTTTCTTGCCTCTTTGAGTTGTGGAATCCTTTCCTCATTTGTGTCATATGGTGATTAATTGCACTGATAATCTGTGTTCCTCATCAATAACTGTCTCCTACCAGTGCCAGGCAGAGGCTGTGCACTGCCTAAAGAGCTTGTGACTGCAAATAAATGAACATACATACGTGAGTAAAGGATGGGACCTCTGAGAGCATTTTAAATTGTCAGAGGTGCAGGCTCCTTTAATAAACTAATGCTCTATAGGTAGTGGCAGCAACTCCTGAATGCAGTTCCCTCGCTAGTGGGGAAAGAATGGGACCATTTCTCTGGGGCAAGCCCTAAGCCTTGGTCAGTGGAGTGAAAAGTGAACCCTAAGGGATCATAAAAGGTGGGAGCTTTACAGCCTGAGTGGGCCAGCATCAGCAGATGGAACTGCCTATGCAAAGCTCTTTAGGGTGGGACAGCATGGAAGGCAGGGTCTGCTCCCCTGGCTCTTGCTGGGGTATAATTAGGATTCCCTCTGCAAGTGTTAGTGAGTCTTTGACCACTCCCTGATGTGTGATGGATTTTATTTTCCATTCTAGCCTGACCAGTCCTTGGAGAAAATCAAACTCAATTAATAGAACTATAAAATATACTGAATTAGAAGGGACCCATCAGGATCATTGAGTCCAGCTGGCCCTGCACAGGACACCCCAATCACACCCTGTGCCTGAGAGCATCGTCCAAATGATTTTGAACTCAGACAGACTTAGGGCTGTGACCAGTTCCCTGGGGAGTTCCAGTGCTGAGTGCTGTTCCAGTGCCCAACCACTCTCTGGAATAAGAAGTTTTTTCTGATACCTCCCCTGAATCAGCTTCAGGCCATTCCTTTGGGTCCTGTCAGTGGTCACCAGAGAAGAGACCAGTGCCTGCCCCTCCACTGCCCCTCATGAGGATGTTGAAGAGCGCAATGAGGTCTCCCCTCAGTCTCCTCCAGGCTGACCAGACCAAGTGACCTCAGCCCCTATGCAAATAGCTTCCCCCTCCAGACCCTTCACCATCCTCGTGGCCCTCCTTGGGACAGTGCAGGAGCCCCAGGGCTGCAGGCATGGCCTTGACCATCCTTTAATGATGCAGAAAGAGCATTACCAAGCACATCCTCACGCTTCTGCTTCCCGTTTTCCAGAGTGTCTGGCGGAGAGCTCTTTGACCGCATTGTCGAGAAGGGGTTCTACACGGAGAAGGACGCCAGCACCCTGATCCGGCAGGTCCTGGACGCTGTGTACTACCTGCACCGCATGGGCATCGTGCACAGGGACCTCAAGGTACGGCCACAGCGCTGCTCAGCCCCTGGGCAGGGCTGGTGAAGGCTGGGTAATGGTGTGAGCCTAACAAACACGCTGTTTCAGTAAGGTTTTACCCTAGCAGAGATGTTCCAGAGCCTTCCCGTGTAATTGGTTTTAAAGAGGACTCTGCAATCAGGGCAGTTACAGCTGGAATTTTGCACGTATGATGAAAGGAAAAGCCATTAAGATCCAAAATGTTATGTTAAGGCAGAAACCCCATCTCAGCTGAGGTGTGTTCACTACTGTAAAGTCTTTTGCAGGTTTGCTGTGCTATATTTACTTTTACTTAATAATAACTGGTAACAATAATGGGGTAAAGTTGAGTGATTTCCTATCAATTGGAACAGTGTTTTTGGAGACTCTGTTAACAGCAAGGGTTCTTCTAAGGACCATTGTGTGCCAGTGTGATATTTGGATGATTTTCCTTTCAGCTGCACCATATTGTCACATCTAAACCTCTCAGCTTTTCAGGTGAAAAAAAGCCAAACCCTAAACATTGTTGTTTCATTGTTTTCTTCCACTATCTTAAACTGTCATTAAGACATACAGAAAGGCTTGGATTTGATAGGACTTTAGGGTTTTAAGTAATAAATTAGAAGAAGACACTAGAAAAAGATACAAATTTCAAAAGAAAACTCTGGGTTCAGTTCCTGAATTAGTTAATTCTGCCAAAGTTTACTGCCAGAAATGAAGACTTCAGTGATGGAAATAACACCTCTGGTTGTGTTATGGAGGGATGCTCCAAACGGCAGTTTCCTTGGATGTTCAGGCAGAGTTTGTATTTTCCCCCTGTAAAGAGAGTGGAATTTGGCTGCATGTTATGAGCCTTATATAAGCCTTATAAAAAGGCTTGATGAACATTAATGGAGTCAAGAGGCACTGCAGTCCAGTCCAGACTGTCACAAATAATGGGTTTCCTGTAAGGAGGCACTGGTTGGGCTTCCATCTCCTACAGTCTCCACATCTTGCCCTCACTTCCTGTTAATTTCCTGACTTTATGCCGAAGTACATAGAAACATTCTCATATTTATAAAAGCTCCACAGAATTCCAATATGGAAGTGCTGTATTTTAACATGAGCATCTTACTCTCAAATTCAGCTTTTAGGAAATAACTTGAGACTTCTTTCTGCCACCAGCATTTTTGGAGGGTGATCCAAGACCTCCTCATTCAGATATTCCATTGTACAAGGTCTTGGTATTCTTTTCTTTATAACGTAAAGCAAGTTATACCTCTCATTTTAAAAAATCTTATTTTAAAGTTCCTGTAATAAAATATGGGATCTGGTGACTTGGGAATTAAATTCATGTACAGATTACTTTCAGAGGTTATGTAAGGCCAAGCTGAATTTAGATCAAACCAGCCTTCTCCAGTGGTATTTTGTAGCAGAGTAGCTCTTTTTCTCTTTCTGTCTTTTGTTTGCAGGTTTTTGTCAGTACCATACCAATTGTCAAAATGACTCATAAAATACAGTATATGAGGAACACCTGCTGTGAATTTCTGTTAGCAAAAACATACTATGATGAGAAAAACAGGGATATAATAAGGCTTTTTATGATATCAAAATATCAAAATAAGTGTAAGGCTCAAAATGAAACTATAGGAAAGAATCCACTCTACAAAAATACAACCCATGAAACATCCATAACAATTATTTATTGTAATTATGAGCTTATTCAGATACCAAAATAGTACTTGCTGTAGTTGGTAAAAGCAGGTCTGGGCTCCAAGTCCATGATCTAAGTAATGCAACAGCTGATTAGAAGTGATGGCAGCAGGTGATGTCCAGGAGAAGTTCAGGATGCACAAAAGGACTGAAAGGCTCAAGTAGCTCCACTTGGTACAGAGCCACCTTGTTAATACTTTTTGAATTAACCAGCTTGAGGAAACAGAATTCTTTTAAACAAGTTTGACCCTTAAATATGTGGGTTTCTTGGCTTTACTAGATGTGAATATGTGGGAACATGAGGTGGGTTAGCAGAAATGGTTAGGAAATAACTGCTTTTCCCTTAATTTCAAGTCTACCAATCCCTCAGCAGATCATAAGGGCAGTAGTAAAAATTAGGAGTGACTCCATCCTAGGACAGAACATGGCATGAAACTGCAGTCCCTAAAACACTATAAAGTCTCATTAAAGCACTGGACTTGCAAGGTATCATGAGAAAGAAATATAAATGGTAAAACTGTGTATTTATTTTTAGGAACCAAATAGTTTCTCTTTTTACCTCAACCCTGCTGGCCCACAGCTGTGGCTGTGGCTTGCAGATCCTCTCGTGGCCATTGTGTCCCATGTTTCCACATGTCCCATGGGTAAAGCCATCGCTTGGTGCTGGGCATGGGGAGCCAGGAAATATTTTAACCTCCTGAATGGGAACATCACCTTCCAGCACTCTCATCCCCCCTTTCCCCAGAGCAGATGGAGAAGGGAAGATGGATGTTGGTGCTGCTGAACTGCAGTTTCTCCTCCTCACAAATGCAAGCTTGGATGTGTCCCAGGGAGTCTGAGGATGTTGTGTGGCCGCAGCTGCTCCTCACCATTTCCTGGAGCACACAGCAGGCTGTGTCAGCATTTGTACCAGCTTTGGGCAAAAGACTCCACCAAGGCTATTTGGAAACTTTGGGCACCCATCACTTTTCTAGGTGAAGACCCAAAGGTCCAGGACCCATTGCCGCCAGGCTGAGTGCTGCAGGTGTGGACCCTTTCATGAGCCCAGATGTTGAGATGGGGAAGAGGTGGGCTGTCACAGCACCCAGCAAGAGCTTTGCTGTGCAGCAGCAGCACATTCAAAACACATGGATGCAGGACTGGCTGGAGCAGATGGAGGCTGGCTGGGCTCTCCAAACCGCCTGACTCTGGTATAAAAAGTCACAGGGCTTTGTGGAATGATCCTTGTTTTCTCTTGCCATAAACAAGTTGATCTGCTTAGTGCTATAGCAATTTTCCCTTCAGCATTTTTTCCTAATCAGCTCTAGCTGAAATATCCTTGCTTCAAGTCTGTTAACTGTAAAGGCATTTCCTCTCTCAAAATAGTTTGTTTCCAGTGAAGATACAAAAAATTTCTAATTTCTCCCATTTCCCTTCTTTTTTCAAATACTAAATAATTTTTTAGTATACTACCCGTATTTGCCATATTTACCTGCTTTCAAATGAATCCTTCTGTTTCACCACTCGGAAGGGATAATATGTCAGACATATCTCACAAGTAAGGGATGAGCTTCAGGTCTTATTTGAAGTGTTAGAGGAGAAGTTTGTTATCCCATAAAAGTTCCTTAAAGCTGAGGGTGTCAGAGTGTTCCATTTGTTACGATACAGGAGTCTGGAGAGGATCTCCATGTAGGTTTTAAGAGTAAGGTTTTACTCTTTAGGCTTAGGGCAACCGAATTATATTTCTTTATGAAATGCAATGCATGGGTCAACAGGTGTTGTTACTGAATCCACATATTCAAAATTCACTGTGCTTATTCTCCCTTCTAGCCTGAGAACCTGCTTTACTACAGCCAGGATGAAGAGTCAAAAATCATGATCAGTGACTTTGGATTGTCGAAGATGGAGGGTAAAGGAGATGTGATGTCCACAGCCTGTGGAACTCCTGGCTATGTTGGTAAGGGGTTTGCTTATATTTTAGTGAAAATGAAATAATACTAATTTTCTGGTGCTGGTACATGGTGCACATGAGATTTTGCAGATATTTGTTAGATTTTAATGTTTGTCTGTGCTTTGTCTTGTGTGCTCTTCCCCTTTGGGGTACAATCCTGCAATCCAGCTCTGGGTTTGTGGGATTCACTTTCAGGTTTTCAGTCCTTTGTGGAATGAGTGTTCTCAAACTGACACTGCTTCAGCTACACCAGGAGCATGTGAGGAATAGCCTCAAATGTATTGCTTCTGCAAGCACCTAGAAAACCAAGAAGCTTTACCTAATGAAATATGTAATTTTAACCATAAGGAATAGCATTTGCCAGATTCCTCTGATAGAAGACAGTAAAATGAAAGAACAGCATTTATTCAAACGTGCTCAGTAATCCACCTTTACAATCACGTTAAGTTACTGACTCAGATGTCAAAATGCAAAACCTTCTTTAGATCCTTGAGCCTTCCTGAACAGTGTCACATTTTTTTCTATCATTTATTCTGTGCTCTTCTGTCCATTTGGTAGTTATTGTGCAAGGCTACCTATTACCAGTATGTTTACCAGCAGCCTTTAAAAACAGCTGAAGTAGCTGAAAGTGAGCATTAGATGGCAGGTGGTGATGAGGTCTGTTTGAGCAAACATCATTTGAAAGGCTCCCTGTGTGTATGAGACATCCAGCAAACCTGTGCCTCCTGCCATTCCAGGATCATCAGCTGAGCTGGGAAAACTAAACTCTGGGGTATCCATGAAATCCATGAAACTGACAGTGGATAGATTTGTCTCAGAACTTTCCAGCAGAAAAGACTGGATGTTTTCCACCTGTCAGAACCTCTTTTTCCTTTGCAGCTGCCACCTCACCTGTTTTAGTAGTTCTGATGATATCATGGTAAGCAACTCAGATTAGGTGATTATGACACAGTGATACGGATTTGTCACAGGTACTTTTTTCTGGGCATTATTTCACACTGTGCAGACACACTCTATCCTGTTGTGGAGCCATCAGCCCATCACTGATTTATTTTAAGACATGGGCCAGGATGCAGTGTGAGTAGCAGTCTTGTTTAATCACACCAGACTGGAAATCTTCTTCCAGAGCAGTAGCAGGAATTGAGCTGAGACAGCGATTTTCATAACTTTTGCTGTCAGCTCTTCTGTCCTTATCAAGCATGTTTTATTTTGCTCTGGAATGGGCACTGACTAGATCGAGTCTCGTGACACAGGAGAGCTTAGATGATGTTTGCTGAAGTGCTGATGAAAATGAGGGAGTGACTGCTTTGTCTCAAAGTGATCTCCTGCAGCCTCTCATCATTGTTATTTACATTGGAAAATTTGCTGTTTTGTAGAGGAAGCTCTTGGAGCCTGTGGCAGGAGCTGTAGTGCTTTGAGAGATATTTGAGAGCTCTCATTACCCATGGTCTGGCCTCTGATGGCTGCACAAGTTCCTCTAGGCTTGCTGTTACCTTGCTGAAAACAGGATTTACTCATCCTAGTTCAAGAGGTCATGGCCACTTATTTCTGAAGTGCTGACAGGACTTTTCCCCCTCCTTCACAAATAAAACAGCTTTAAATATTTGTTTGTTTGTTTTGGTTTTTTTTCCTGCACAGGACTCACCTCCCTTTTTGTACTGTACCCTTTTTTTAAAAGATAATAGGTTGCTCAGACAATATTTTCCAAGCAGAGAATATTTTTGTTGCTGGTCCCGCAGTGATGCCCACAAATGGTCCTCCTTGAGTGTTACACCTGATGTTGTGGTTGTCTGCAATTTGCCCACACCCAAAAGCATTCATGTCTTCCTGTGTCACTCCTTGCAGCACCTGCCAACTGCCCTCAAATCAATGGAGGAGTCATTCCTCCAAATGGCACAGCAGGAATAGAAGTCCTCAGCCTGGCATGGGTAGGCAAATGCCACAGTCCCAACCTATGAAGTGCCTCTTTTTGTGTTTTGCTTTTTCTTCCCCGCAAATTTTACCTCAGGTTAAGTAATACTCAGAGATCCATCACTTAAAATTCATTTCCTTGTGCTTTTCTACAGATAGGTAGAATACCCTATTTTCTAAGATCTTACTAGAATTGATTATTTTTATCAGTTTCCCCACTTTGCTTTTAAATTGCTGGAAGAGATTTAGGCAGATATCACATGTCAAAGGCACTCAGGGCTCTGTTAAGAAGTCATTGGCATCTGTTACTATTTATGTCCAGAAATGGTCCAGTCAGATCCCACTTTGCAAAGTGCTGGGCAAGCTTCTGACTCAGAAGCAGACCTGATCTTAACTCATGTCTGCTGCCCAAGTATTTGCAAGGATGCAACCCCCCTGTCATTTCTGTCTAATTTCCCTGATCAGGATATAATTTCAACTCCTTGTGCTTCATTTTTTGTCTCAATTTTTCTTATTTTCATCTGCAAAGAACAGTAGTATCCATGACACTGTTTACATGGTCTGGAAATTTATTGAATAAGGAAGGGTATAATTATAATTAAACTCCTTAACAAATATCAGTTTTCTTTCTGAAAATCAAAATATTTCTTCTCAAGTTAGACTGTATCTAAACTGTGCATGACCAGTAGTGCATTAGCACTTCAGCTGTTAAAGCTCTGCCTTACAGATTAAATTACTGTCAAGAGTTCTGGGTTAATATTTTTCAGGAATTTTCTCAGAGATTTTGGACTTGTGATGAAAAGCTGATGGTTAAGATAATTTAACCCAATTATCTGAGACACTTTTCTTAAGAGGCCAATCAAAATGTTTGCTTACTGAAAAGGGGATCTGACAATACAACCTCTTTAAGAAGGTCTTGGCATTTTCTTATCTGCTTAGCATTCTTATCCCCATTTCTTATGGAAAGAGTCTGGGTGGTGAGCTGGGACTAGACCCCCAACTTTTAGATATCACCTGAATTGGGAAAGGTGAGGCAGCTTGTGTGGCTCATTTCCCTGCAAATTAGGTGTGAGGGCCGACCTGCATGGGTCTGAACCCACTGTCTAATGTGGAGAAGAAAACCCTGAATGATGTGTGTGATTATGGGCAGGATCCCAATAAGCCATTATTGATTTATAATTTTAAACATCATGGATTTGGTCTGACCCAAAACAGCTCTTGACCTTATATAATAACTCAGTTTTGATGTAGCAGCTGTTCAAACCTGCCTGAAAATGAGCCATCCCTGAGGTGTGTGAAGCTGGGCACATACCAGGAAATTACTCCAGACACTCAGCAAATTCTTCTAAAGAGATTTTGGATGTTTGGGAACTGGGTCTCACTGAGTGACTTTCCGTGAGAGGTGATCCCTCAAAAGCTTTTGTTATTTCTGCAGATGGAACTTGGACTTTTGAGACTCTTGAAAATTCAGGAAAAATATGTTAGAAAGCCTTTCTGCTTTCTGCAGTGGCAATCTGCTCTCTTTTTGCAGAAACACTGAATTATGAGCTGTGTTTGTGGCTGACTAATATCTTAATCCTACTGAGATTTAAAATTCTTGCTCTGAGTCCCAATCCCTCTTCAAGTAAAACTTTCTTGTACTTCCCTGTCATACAAATTGGGCTGGATCCTGGATATGTGGTTGGTCCCTGTACACCCCACCTCACTCACTGTTTTAATTTTCTGTAGTGCTTTTATGAAAGTTTTCACAACTTTCATCTCTGCTCTGCCAAAAATCCAGTAGTTCCAGATCTCACCAAAGCCACGTGTTCCTCTTAGCCCTGTGCAAGACCACAGCATTTAAGTAAGCAATAGATTTCCGTGTTGAATTTTGACCTATTTGGTATCCTTTGATTCAAAGGATAACCTTTCAGAATATGCTTACTAGCAGTAAGCTACCTCAGGAGATTTTAGGCAGTATCATGAGTAATCAAGTAAAAATAAAGCAGGGGAATCACTCTGAACAGGGTTTGCTCAGGCAGAAGCATGTGACAGGCAATTTCTCAGCTCTGTTGCTGAATCCTGACAGTGTTGTGTTACCCTCTGCTAAACATAAACTTCATTATTACCCATGGCATATATCTAAATCTGACTCAGCAACATGAAATAAGAACAGGAGCACAGAAAGTCAGCAATACAGCACTGAAAACCCTGCTCTCCTTCAGAATCAGCCTCAAACTTCAAATTCTTGGCCAACCAGAACAAGATGAACACTGGAAGAATGTGTGAAAAAATGGGAAAGAAGTTGTTTTCACCCCAGGAGTCAGTGGAAGAAGGACTCTGGTCTTGTGGTGAGGCTGCTTCATGTGCAGCTCAGCCTGTTAGCTCTGTGAGGAGGGTACTTTGTAGATTTTGACTTCAGGAAAGAGGCTGGGTTGGCCCTTCGTGTGCAGTACATACTGTTATGAGGAACAGGCACCCTCATGACTTGTACGGTGTGATCAACAGGCTTAAATTGCCAGAGCAATCCCCATCACCTGAGCTCTTTGCAGGAACATGGCACGCTGTTTTTGGCACCCAGCAGCTGCATTTTTAGGGAGCTTATTAGCATAGCTGTGCTTTCTGAGGGTAATGGCATAGTGTTCTGAAAGAGTTCCAAATGGTCTGGTCTGTACCTTTTCTTAAAACCTCCATTTGAAACAAGCCTTTGGATTTTTTCTCTTATTAAAAGCAAAACATAACCAAAAAAAAACCTATCTGTAAGACAGCAGGGTCATCTGGCCTAGGAACATACCTTCATGCACCTGAAGGTGGAATGAGCCTCCAACTTGTACCCAGCACTGTGGCAATGCTGATTTGGTCTGAAACACCTACCTGGATGTGAAGGAAGGGTCTGGGTTTATTCCACTGATTTCCCTGTCTGGATGACCACTGCATATGATTTGAGCCCAGGGTGACTCCTTGGGGATGTGTGAACATGGAAGCCTTTGCTCAGCTGGCATCTCCCCAGTGCCAGAAATGGGAGATTTGGCTTTCCCCTTCTCCTTTCTGCTGTTTTGTCTCCCCAGCTGTCTGTGTTGATCCTTTAATGCTGTCAGCTCCTGGATTTTTTTCGTTGTGTCTCCTGCTTTTGCCTCTTGGCACCGATCTGCCGTCATTCCTGAGAGCTTCTCTGACTTGTTTTTCAGCTCATTAAATATTTCCGTCTTTTCCGTATATCAGAGCCAGATGATGCTGAGCTATGTCCTCCTGTTCCTACTGCATGTCTGCTTATTGCAACCAAAAAAAAAACCCAAAAGCAGCCATTTGGACTTAAAAGAAGTATTTAAACCCCCTACCTCTCTTCACTAATGCTTACCCTGTATTGTTCTTACCTGTTTCAGAGCTATCAGTGCTGCTCACTCCTTTAAAACAGAGATGCCCCAGCACAGCTTTGATGTTTTAAGAGGGAAAAATCTTTATATAGTTCACATCCCCTCATCTCAGAATTGTTTTCTGTTATGTTAATGTGGCATATCTGTATAATGTCAGAAGCTCACTGGTGCACAGCAGCTATTTGCATAATATTTTCTTTAGGAGCTATGAGATGTGTAATGTTTACCAGTCTTGAAAGTTATGTAAACAGATGCAGACAGCCAAAGGTAGAAGAGAATATGAATAAAATACTGGAAATTTAGAAGAACTGGAGAGTTGGAAGGCATCTAAGCACATAAAGACAGGAGAACATTAACTCCCTTCTTCCTCATATTTTGTCACAAATTTCAATTACAAAGGATGTAACAAAACAAAAAGTCTCATTTCTTATGCTGTGGTCCCAATTTCTAATTCACATACATTCTTCTTGTTCCATGCCTTGCTGGCAGTATTGACCTTGGTTTTGTTGGCTTGTCTGGATTAAGAAGTCTTTGAAGAGTCCTACCTGTACAACAGAGGATAGGTAGCAACTAAATGTGGGGCCCAAGTTTGAGTACATCTCAATTGCTTCACAATTTTTTTGCCCTTCTTCAAGTAGCTAAGTGTTTTGGTGTTGGTGAGATTCCTAGCAGAGGAAGGTGTGACTCCCAAGAAATATTTTTGTTGGGACTTGTCACTTCATTACTTTTTTTCCCAGCATTTGAATTCGAAATTACTCAAAGGAAATACTATACTTTCTAAAACCCAGCATGGCAAGTCTGCTTTAGGAATGCCACAGTCAGTGGTTTCTTGCATTATTGTGGATGTTTTGCTTTGAAAAGGCAAAAGCTTCTTTACATGAAAAAGATTAGGGTCACAGGGTTTTAAAATTTCAGTTTAAGCATTTGCACTGCAAGGTCCCAACAGGGAAAACATAATACATCAGGATGCCAAACAAAAAATACATCTTTTAAAGTCTCAGTAGTATAAGATAGTAAAACAGATCCACAAAGAGTTTCGATAAATTCTCAGGCTCTTGCTTCTAGCAAAATTCAGACTATGGTGGCTGTATAGATGTGGGAGGCTCAGTTCCTTTGTGTACATATCCAATTCCTGCTGCTTTTCATTTCTCCCTCTGAGGTGTCTGTGTTCCCAGAGGCAGAAGGACAAATGACTCCTTCTGACTCTGACATCCAGCAGGCCTTGGAAGGCAGCTGCTGAAAGAAGTGGTGACTGCTCTCCTTCCTCTCCTGCAGATGTAGCTTATCTCCTTCCTGACTCGCTGCCCTTCCTGAGCTGCCTCTGGAACTCCCTCTCCAGCAGCACGATGTGGTGGAGCTGCGATGCTGTCAGGGAGAATGTGCATCTCTGCACCCATGCAAAGCTTGGCCTCATTTTCCTCCTAAACAGGGAGGTGATGGCCCTCTGCCTCTCATGCATTTTTCTGTGCTTTGTTTTGTTTTCTGTGCCTGGAGACAAAAAAAATGTGAATTTACTCTACTTTAGGAGTCATCCTTTCTCGTGAGAATATGACCTTCAAAAAACTCAGGACACATTTGCAAACACAAGGGCTCTATGTGGAGAGCAAAACAAGGTCTTGGGGGTCTTCAAGTTACCTTTTGACCATATTCAAATGTCTGGTCTTATAACATGTGCTTGTTTGGCTTTTTATTTTCAGCTCCTGAAGTGCTGGCCCAGAAGCCCTACAGCAAAGCCGTGGATTGCTGGTCCATCGGGGTCATCGCCTACATCCTGTGAGTACCTGTCCCGTTTCCAATGCTGGCAGCTTTGGGACCTGCAGCTTGCTCTCCCATCATGGAGTTACCATCTTAGCCTGGGGCAAAATAACTAATTCCTGGCACTTGGACACCTCCAGGGTACATTTAGGTACCCTAAAGGCTGAAATCTGAGCAAAAGTGGTAGGAAATGGACCAGTACCCTTCAGCTGTCAAAATCTTTGCTCCCACCAGAACTACCCTGTGTGCAGCAGTGTGGGCTTCTCCAGGTTGTGACATTATTGAAGTTCTTGTTGTTCCCTGCTCAGATTGGCTTTGAGAAGAAACAAATCTGGCTGTGTCCACTGAGCTGCCACAAATGTCTTTACTTGACAACATTGCCACTGCTTAATTTTTTTTTTTACTTTTCCCTTTTACACAACTGTCACAGTTATACAAGACTGAAGGAAAAAGCAGCTCCAATGAGGCACAGCATTAAAGCATTCCTACTTTGTTCCCCTTTTCCTTATGCAGACATTTCATGGCTTGTCAACATGAATAACTTTTTGATGGTGCTGTAGAACTATTTTTGCCAGGACATACCTCATTGCTGTGCTATCCACTTTGTGCAATATTCATTCCTTACGTTTGCATTAGATTTGCATAACTTATACACTACCCAAAACAGGAAGGTTTTATATTAAATAGTATAGGAAGGCAGCTTTGTTTAGTGTGTGTTTATTTATTTAAACCAAAATCCTGCCTGAAAACATTAGTTTTATAACTGACTTTTTTGAAAACTTGTTGAGTACAAAACTTACATGGAAATAGATTTCTCTTGGAGCAGCCATCAGTAGCAGGATGCAAAAAGCTTTTGCTACACAAAGCAAGAATCAAAAGTCCTGATTCTGACTTTATTTCAAAGCCCAGCAGGACCTACTACAGCAGTGAAGAAGAGCACAGACATGCCAAAATACCTTGGAGGCTGCTTCACAAATCATTCCTTAGTGCTCTTTTAGATGAGGATGGTGCTGACTCAAAGTTACCTTTCCATAATTTACCAAAGTTACCATTTTCCATAATCTGATATGGAAGTCCTAGGGGTTGGGATTTCTGACATTGTCAGTCCTTGCCAGCCATGGCAGGACACAGTTGGAATCTTTTCTGATGCTCTTTCAGCACTTTGCTGAGTACCAGCTTCAGAGAGTGGGAAAAGGAGGATGCAGGCAGGAGATAGCACCAGTCTGCCTCACATCCAGGCTCAGCCACTGCCTGGCTTCACTTTATTGCCAAATATCCACTACGAAAAAATGTGTCCATCTGGCAGCCCATGGGTGGGCTGTGAACTGTTGTATCTGGCTGCCTGGAGATAGCTGCTTTCCTCCAGGTTTCCTCCAGGTTGTCAGTCCCATGTGTCAATGGCTCATGCACCAAAGGTCTTTTGTGGTGGCAGACCTGTGGTCTTATTTCACTTGTTGTTTTCACTGAGGAATAGGAGTGGGGCAGTGCTAAGCAATGTGTCCTCCACACCCAGTTTATGAACACTTCTTCAACAGGTGGAAGACTTTAATCACCTCCATAATCTTTTCCCCTTCCTAAGCAAGGCTGCTTTTTCTGCAAGGTTCAGCTCTTGTTTCCTGCTCTGTTTTCCAAATCAATATATCCTCAGCTTGTCAAGCCTGGCATGCACACTCCTCAAATTTAAATTCCCTATTCGCTACACAGGGAATTCCCAACCCAGAAGGCTTAAATCATCTCGATAAGAATTAGCCTCTATGAATGCAGGACAAGGAAACCTTTTCAGAGTTTCTGTGCTTCAGGTAATAAGGTCTTGATTTGTATTTTGTACAGCCCAAATAAGCAGCAATAAAGCATTGCTGTAGAAGGAGCCTGTTAATGTCTTTGCCAGACTGTTACAGCTTGGGTGGGATTGGGTCTGAGAACAAACCAGTTATTTCAATGTGTAAGCCACATCCTTCAGCTCCTGTAGCAGTCAGCAGGACTCCAGGGCTCCCTTTTGTTAGCCCCCCACAGCCCGTGGCATCAGGGGCTCTGTGCACTCCAGCTTCTCCAGAGGCACTGGGCACCTCAGCCCAGCCTGAGTGTATGCAAGCAGCCATTTCACCGGGGTGGGCTGTTCAGTTGCCTAAACTTGCACATCTACTGCCATGCTGGGGGGTCCAGGGCAGCCACATGGATTTGGAAAATATAATACATTGAAGAGACTTCCTTCTGGAGAGGCAGATGGATCCAAGCTGGAGACCATGGACCATGTCAAACAGCACCAGATGCTCATGCTGAGGTGCCTGGATCACACCCTGCTCCCTGCTCAGAGCACTGCTTTCACAGTGTGAATTCATCTGCTCTGTGGTACATTTATGTCACTCTCCAGCCTCCCTTGACTCCATCTCTGCTAAGTGCAGTGTGATCTCAGAAACCCACGTGTCCTTGTCTTGGTCTGGATCTCATCCTTGCTTCCAGGAACAGCCAGAAGTTGCAGATGTGGTCTCTTAAGAGAGAGGAGGAAGGTCCTTCCCTAATCTGGAGTGAATTAGCCCTGGTGGGGTGTCTGATACCACCAGTGATGGGCACGGGTTTGGCAAGTGGGTTTGTGGTCTCAGCAGTGCCACACCACCAGAGGTAGCAGTGCCAGCGGGGGCTCCCAGTGGAACGTGGCACTGAGATGCCACAAGGACCAGCAGCACAAGGACCTGGTGAAATGCTGGGAGTTAAAGCTGCCCTAAGCAGGAGTTACTAGCTCCAATATGTAGCTGTACCCATTTGGATATGCCATTTCCAGCTCCACAATCAGCACAGCTGGAGCTACCTGCACATGCCTAAACCAGTTGGAGATGCATTTTTGCATAAGGCAATCCAAGCACAATGTCTTGCCTCACCTCCTCAACTCTCCTGCAGATCCTCACTGCCACTTTGGGCAGACTGTCATCGTTTAAGAAGATGGAAACTCAAAGGAAACCCACACAGAAGCCAGGCATAAATTAAAGATGCTTTGAGCTAATATTACTGCAAGTGGTTTGAGTGCCTCCAGACCCAAGCTCAGTCTCACTTGAGAGCCCTCAGTTTATGACACTGGAAGAACAAACTGTTTCTGTGGCACTGATGCTGTAGAGAAATATTTGTTTCCATGATATGCAAGGATGTCTTGGGAAAGAATACCTTTGTTTCAGTGCCAGTCTCTAATGCTTCTCATTAATGACAGCCAGATTGCAGAGGCCGCACCAGAGGAGTTTTTATCAAAACCTGTTTTGCATGAGAAGTCATTATTCACAAAAACTAATTTTAGAGCCTGAAATTTCCTGTTATTCCAGTTGCAGTATTTCTCAATTTGAAACAGCCTCACTGTTGAGCTTGGCCTCCTACTTATCACAAGGTAGTTTTGATAATGTGTCCAGCTTAAAAATACAAAGCATAAGAAGAGCAAGAGATTTCACTGGATTCCCAGCAGTTGGTTTTGGGACCTTTCTGGGTCAGATAAGGGATTATAAAAGATTGGGGAACTAAAATACTGATCACATGCATACCTTATATAGAGAAGATTAGGTTAATTTATGCAAAAAATAGAAAATCACGTTTTGAAGCTGGAAAAGAACTTGGGGACAGAGAATGCTCTGCGTCAGGCTCTGGTTATTCATAGTCTTCTGCAATAGGTCAAACACATTTTGCCTTGAATTTTCTTCTGTTTCTTTTCACTGTTTGGACAGAGAGTTACTGGTTTGTTGTTGTCTGTAAACAATTACCTATCTGGAGATAAATCTTGGATCATACTTTCACACTTTGCTGCTGAGCTGCTTTTGATTTTCAAGTAGATGTGCATGAATCATCAGTGATGTTTGTAGAGAAGGATTGACCAGGGACAGTGCAAAGTATATTATGCCAAAAGGAGTTTCCACCATCACCCTAGGAGCCATCCATTGGGAAAAAGTGGTCAGTCATCTTGCCTGCTTGGCATCACACACAAGCTTAAGCAAAAAAGTGAGGAATAACTTACTTGTTTGGCACGGGAAGGAGAAACAGTGGTGGCAGAGGACACAGGCAAGCGTTTTGGATTGCTCAGGAAAACTCAGCTAACATTGGGAAAACAGCCCCAAATAATCATTCCTCATTGCTTGCTTCTTAATTTGTCTGTGATTCCCTATGCCCATATTCCTTGTCCACAGCTTTATGGGGGCACCAGTGTCAGCCAATATGAAGGACTGTTCCCAAAATATACAGAAGAAATACGTGTTTATCCCTATAAATAGCACTTGGATGGCTTCCCACCTCATACATCTCAGGTCTTTGAATGCTTACTGAATTCTTTGTTCTAATCTAACTGTAAAATTGTTTGTAAAACTAACCCTGGGGCCTCTTGTGTCACAAATTGGACACTGACCACGTGAATGAGTTATTTAGCCTTTAGTATCACCCCCAGTATGTAATGGGAGCTTGCAGGGGTTTGCTTTTTCTGCCTGGTGAGGACAAGATGTTCCTGCTATTCCTCTTGCGGTCTCAGGATCACTTTTAGAAATGACTTCTGGCAATATCTTTCTCTTGTGCATCCACCTGTGTTTTTCTTATCTGCATGCCATTATTTTTAAGGCAAGACTGGGAATAGGAGTTTAGGGGGAAATCTGTTGCTTATGTGATAAGGTTGCTAAATAATTCTGAAAACCTTTTATTTGGTGAAACTGCAATAAAATGATGACAACTAATAGCTGCCTAAAACTCCCCCAGGACAGTGCAGGATTTTTTCACATCGAAGACAGAGGGGTTATTTTTGCATTTCTGCATATCTAAAGAAAAGCAGCAGAACATCTGATAGTGAGGTCATTTTTTTCACACAGACATGTCCCAGCAGATGGAAATGAAGTTGGTGGGATTTTGATTCTGTAAGAATTGACCAAAAAACTCATTATGGACTTTGGAAAGTGGCCCAGTTGCTGGAAGTCCAGCAAGATTTCCTCCAGCCATAAATTGCAAGATAGGCTGATGTGCTGGGGCTTTCCCATCCTTTCTGCAAAGCCAATAATGTTAAGGAACATTAAAACTCCCATGTCTTCCTAAGCTCTATTTTTAAGGGAAAGGACAGCAAGGCTGTACATAAAATACAGGGACCTTTATTTTGGCTCTCAACCCATCCGTGTGCCAGTGTGCACCAATGTTCCCTCCCCACATGCCACCTCTTCTGACCCACAGGGCTTGCTCCCTTCTCTCATGCTTTCTGGTGTAGGTCTTCATTAATTTTCCTCCCAGAGGAATGTCCTTGAATCCCTCTGTGCAGGAGGTTCATCCTATCCCTGGCCAAGCCAGGATCAGCCCTTGCCCTGCGCTCATTTGGCTCTCAGGCAAGGGGATGATTTGGGGGCATCTTCCAGTTCATGACCTGTAGTAGCAACTAACCCGTCTCAACCTCTTCCTAACAAGGGAAAAGCTGTGCCAAAAGAGGCTGTTTTCTGCCCTGTGCCCAGCCCCTGGCAGTTCTGGTGCCCTCCTGCATGACCCTGTCTCTCCTTGTGCATCAGCAGTGGCTGCAGTGACCTCCTGGACACAGAGGCTGATTCCCCAGGTGTGCAGATACTCAAGTCATGCAGAGGAGATGGATTGAAAGGCTCTGGAGGGGCTGGGGCTCTTGTTGGGACTCATGTCTCTGTGCTCCCCCCTTGCAGGGTTGTTGCCCTCCAGCTCTGTTCTGCTCAGCAGTTTGCTCCTGCCTTTTGCTGCCACAAGTGTGTATAAATCACAGCAGTCCTAACTTGTGCTCTTGTACCTTTGCCAAGGTAATTAGTACAGTGCACATTTGAAGAGAGTTATTTCTCTCTCCAGAGCAGCCTGCCAGTGCCTCAGCATGCACAGTGCTGTCTGCTCGCCTTAAAATGCTTTATTGGAGCACTTTGGGCTTGTCTAAGGAAAGTGCTGAGGAAGGCAAAAAATTAATGAAGGGCTGTCAGGCTTCTTACATGCAGCCCCCTGAGTCTCACAGGGAAGAGGAATGTGTTCAAGTGGTTTTTGTTTGTTTGTTTGTTTTTGGGGGTATTTTTTCCTTTTTTTTTACTCCAGCCTGTGCATCTCTACACCAGTGCTCATCCTACCAGTTGCAGTGCTGGTGCTGTCAGCTCCATCATTTCCCCTCAGTAAAGCACCCAAAATTTTGAGGGTTGTGACAAAAGAGGAGGAAGGTGAAAATAAGTTTGTGCCCATCCCAACACAAGACTGTGGGATGTGAGCACTGATAATTAAAGCAAAACAAGTAATTCATAAGCTCTTCACAAATACCTGTGGAGCTGGACTCTGATTGCGGATCCAGTTTCTTCATTAAGCTATCAGATGTTTTTCCTCTGTTGTCTGTGCACATAGCAGCTTTTTGGCATTTTTAAGCATTTTTAAGGACCCTTCTCATACACCACCTGCACCCCAGGGTTTCACACATGAGCACCCAGCCCCACACACAGGGACATGCCCATTAAGGAGGTGCACAGTCCTGCTCTGGACATACACACTTGTCTGGCATGAGGTTATCTTACTGGTCTTGATAATGGCAGTCACCCAGTGGGACACGAATGAGGACTGGCTCATCTGCTCTCTGAAATAAAGAGAGAGATTTCTGGTTCAGCTGAACCACAGAGGGTCCATTATCATGCTGCAAATTTCAGTAGAGTTCTCCCAGGTCAGTGTGGATGTGACGCAGATCAACATCTCACTCAGTATTTAAATTATTTATCAAGCACACTGGCTCTTCAGAGCTAACAAAACATTGCTCCTCTCACCCTCAAGTGTTGAGTTGGTTCAAATAACCTCCAGGGCAGCCGGCTGGCTTTGGTTATAAATAACTCAAGTATTTAATTTCTTGCAGTTTCCCCCCCTTGCTCTGTTTTTGCTTCTAAGCTAGATCTACAGTCTATTTGTAATAGCTGGCTCTCTGCAATTAAATGCTTTATTGAGGTTGATTGACTCAGAGTTATAAAAAACTGTACGAAAAATATCATTTCAATACCAGCAAAGTATGTGAAAGAATGGTTTACACCATAGACCAACAATAAGAGGAAAAAAATGTATCATCTCTACAGAGAGGCAGGAAGGTCTGTTTAACTGTGAACAGGATGGGTTTGCTAAAACCTAGGGCCAGCCTCAGAGGTAAATCTGGCACTTTGCAACATTGGTGTTAAAGCTTGAAGAAGGGTTGTCTCTGCTGGCATGTCTGTGCAGAGTGGGACAGAATACTGCCTGCAGCACCAGCTGGGTGTGAGGGATCTCTGACACACGAGTTTTATCACTGCACTTGCTTAATGCAGTGCTAGATGTACTTTTCCCACATCCAGCCCTGCCTCAGCATCATGGCTGTCCTGCTCTGCAGAACTGGGGGGTGCACCCTGAATGTGTTAGTTCAAACTAGGCAAGTAATGCCTTGGATGTCCTGCTTGTCCTGGGGCTAGGTTTTCTGAGAAGTCTGACTATAAACACTGAAAACCAGGACAGGGCTGTTGTTAGGCTCAGGCAAGGCAGGCAATTGGATGTGGTCAGCAATATCACTTGCAGGAGAGAGAAAGGGAGAGGCTCTCCCTGTGCCTGCAGCAGGTCCATGTGCAGCCCTTGCAAGCTCTGCTACAGAGGTGGATGGGCTGCTGAGCATCCTCCTCACTGTGCCTGGGGACACAGAGCCCAGAACATCCTACAGATGCATTATACCCTCTGCCTGAAAGCTCTGCAGGGCTCCTTGTCCTGCTTTGCACCAGGTCTTCTGGATGTGCTGAGGGATTAGAGGGATGGATGCTCTGTGGTGTAGGGTTTAGCTCATGAGATCTCCTCTTAGCACTTGTACAGGAAATCATGGCAGGGGTCATGCAGGGTCAGGCAGGGGTCATGTCTGTGTAATAAAACTATTTCTCTGGTTAAGCACTCAAAAGCATGCAGAGAAAGGCCAGGATATCTGCATGAATCAGCATGGGATCAACAGCACCAGGTTTCCAGGTAGAATTCCACTTCATCCAGGACAGTGTCAATCTTCAGAAGTAGGTTTACATGTCCCTGAAGAAACTTCTCACATGGTAGCGCTTGCCTGCTTGAAAACTTACTGGGGCAAGCCTTAAGTGAGAGTTTCTTCTTCTCCCTCCCTCCTCCTTACCTTATGGACAGAGAAGTCACCTCTCTCTTTTCCTGCTCTCCCTTAGGCTCTGTGGTTATCCCCCTTTCTATGATGAAAACGACTCCAAACTCTTTGAGCAGATCCTTAAGGCAGAATATGAGTTTGACTCTCCATACTGGGATGACATCTCTGAGTCTGGTAAGTAGCTACTGCTCTTTAAATTGCAACAACCACACATGCACATGTGCCTATTGCATGCATCCCCCCTGGGGCATGAAAATGCAGCCTCCATCATGTGCAGAGATCCTTTTAACTGAACACCAGTGGGAATGTGCATTTCTTTTGGCTCAAATAGTCGTGGGAGTTTGTTTCTGCAGGAGACAAATTAGGTACTATTCTGTCCAGCCACACACAAAGCACTAAAACATAGCTCAAACAGCAGATTAAAGACAGCAGAAGACTGTCCCAAGAAGAAAAAGCAGCTTAATTTCTTCATTGTATCCAAATGAAAAGCAGATTGTTAATGTGTCATTAATAATCAGCGGCAAACAAGTTTGGCACTCTTGCTGACACTTCACTGCAGCTCCAAAGCAAGTCCTCAGTCTGTGCAGCAAAAAACCCAAGAAATTAATGGCTTTCAAATGAGGCAGGTGAAGAAACTGGAAGGACTGTCCATGTGTGTGGATGTTCCCCACGCAGTGCAGGAGACATTTAACCCATAGTACCCACCTGGCCCAGTCAGCCTGGCAGAGGGGCAGGTACACCAAATGTGTTACAGGCAGATGTTCCTAAGGGCTTCTGGCTCCAGTGTGGGTCTGTGTCTAGGGGTGACAGCAGGGGACATTCAGCCTTGCACCTGCATGTGTCCCTGACACACTGTGTAGTCTCCAAAAGGTCACCCAAGCTCAGTGTCCTTGCTCTGTCCAACCCAGGAAAACATCTGCTATTTCATGCAGAAGGAGAAATTAATTCTATGAATATTCCATCATGTAAAAATATCCCTAGAAATGCAGTTTACTGATTTATTAGTGCTACTGATTGAGGCAGGGGAGATAAAAATTGAGTGTTTTTATTACAATGATGATTATATATTCTCTTATCTCCATGAAGAGCAACATTTTATGCTGCTTACATCTGCAGTCCAGATATCATTGTGATGGATTGCTCAAAAATATATGTGATGAGAAGTTTTTTTAAACTAATAAGGATTTTCAGAGAAAATATTAAGGTCTTTTGGCAGACCCTTCTGCCTTGTGGGGGAAAGTCCATCACCTAAATCAGCACAAAGATTTTCCTGCCATATTTGGCTTTGCTGTGGCTCCTTCAGCTCCACTGTCCTGAAACTGCTGGATGCATGCCACGCTGCAATCTCCATTCCTTCCATTATAGTGTCGATTAAAAACACACTGCCTCCTGCTCCAGGGAGTCCATTTTCCTTGCTGAATTCCTCTTAAATAGGCAACATGTCCTTACAGCTGTCTGTGTGTGTGACTGCTTGGAATGAGCAATGTGAACCTCCTCTTACTGTGGCATCTGACCTCCCCTCTCTCCACTCAGCTGACCAGACCAGCACATCCCGTGGATGTGACCACATTCAGACCACTAAGATGATGTAGCACATGCTGACCAGGGACCCAGGAGCTGGCAGGGTTGTACTCTGCTGACTCTGAATTATCCATCCCACTCCTAAATATACCTGCAGGAGTATGTGCCTTCAGCTTTTATCTGGTACACTAAATAGCTTGGATTTGGTCCTAAGTCACTTTGGTTCTATCTATCCTAATAAATGACAAATGGCCCAGGGCCATTTTCTTGTGCTGTGGCCAGATGGCACGTGGTAGCCTGATCAGTGCTGTTGGCTCATCATGTGGCAGCAGAAGTGGGCATCAACTCTATTGCTTTCAATAATTCCCTCTTTTTTTTTTTTTTTTGCAGCTAAAGACTTTATTCGGAATTTGATGGAGAAAGACCCTAATAAAAGATACACCTGTGAGCAGGCAGCACGGCACCCTTGGTAAGCAGCACTCACAGCTCTGAGAAACCCTCAGGACACAGAGCACCTTTTTACATTACTGCATGGAAGTGGTTTTTCTGTCATATATTGTCATATATAGACCTCTACTACATAACTCTGTACTTTTATTCTTACAACCCTTGCCTTTGTCCTCCAGATTTTCCTGGAAAACTGTAATGGACTTCAGTCTCATGCACCAACCTGTGTAAGGATTAGTAAAATGCTGAATTATGTATGCTGACTGTAGTGCAGAAGTGGGATGTGCCAAAATGATTAAAGTGCTTTAAGTTAAATGATGCCTTTGCATATGAGTGACTTCACCAACATTATCCAAGGTTTGTGTAGCTGGAACAAGGGTGACTCATGTACTTTTGCCCAGCCCTGAGTGACTGAGAGCATCATCCCACACTACCAGCTGCACCCACATGTGGGCTCTAACATGAATCTAACTCTTTTAGGGCAGAGGACATTATATAAGCAAGGTGAGGTATTATTTTTGTTGTTATAATTGCTGCAACAGAAAAGAGTTAATGGCATGACATTTTCACTCCAGGTGTGCATTAGACTCTGTTTTTATACTATCACAATTGCCCCAAATGCCACTTCCTTTTTCATTGTCTGTGCTACAAAAAGGAAATTTAAGAAATGAAATCCCTCTTTGTGAGATGAAAAAGAATCCCAAACTGGTTCTTAATGATACTGACCTGAGCCTCAGGAAATTAAACAAGTCAGTATTAGGAATACAGGATAAACAATGGGAGTGCAACTCCCAGCAGGGAGTGAGGTGACCATTTGTACAACTCAGAGACAGATTCTCCAAAGCCTTACATCCAAGATAAACAAAATGTAAGCATCCAGCTCCTGGCCCTGCTACGTCTTTGTTGGTGGCTGGAGTGTAACAAAGAAACGTGGCACTTGTAACACACAGAGCTTCTGGGCCCTCTGAAAGGAACAAAATGATAAAAAGTGTTTTCATTCCCTTCTTTGTGTGGTTTTTGTTTTGTTTTGTTTTCTTTTGCATGTCATGGCCAAGGGCCAGTGGAAACTCACAGACTGCTACATAATTCGTACTATTTTCCACAGAATCCAATCTTCCATTTAAAAACAACCCCCCAAAAAGGTTTTTCCCCATTTCTGTGGCAGGGGGTCTTCTTCTGCCAGGCTGACTTTGCCATCCAGTGGTTCATTTTCAAGACTTCAAGTTCTGACCCAGCTCCCAGCACAGCTCAGGGTCAGCGTTTGAAATGTCAGACATGCAAATGGCACTGCAGAAGGGAGGCTGAAAATACCATGTTTCCACTCCACATCCTGAATCCACCTCCCTTTGACACAGAGACAACATGTGCCAGGGGATTACAGGACAGTTGTGCTGAAAGCCAGGCATGGAGGTTTCCAAAGCTATGGCTTCAGATCTGCCTCTGCCCTCTCCAGTGTGCTCCTGAGCAACACTCCATTCCCCCTTGCTCTGAAAAGCCTCCTGTAACATGGATGTTGCAGTTATGGACCTCTCTGGAGAGCTGTGCAGTGATTTTTTTTGGAAGGTTTGGATCCTGTAGTGATAAATGCCTTTTTGGATAATCATGGCTGCTCACCCAGGTGTTATTTTGGAGTTAGTGATAGGGCCTCCTTTTGCCAAAGCATTGCTCAAGGAGCATTTTCCACCCAGATTCCTTATGTCAGGAAATAGTGAGGGTTTTACTGTTTCTTTTCTCATTCTAGCCATTACAGCTGTGGAAGTGACATCCTTTCCCTCTCCTGGAAGGGAGGGAAGGCTTTTTCAGTGGAGGAGGAAGAGGGTTCTGTGCTTTGTCTCAGTGGTCAGCTGTGTCCTCTCAGCACTGGGTGTATTTAAGTTTCCAACAGCTGCAGGCCTGGGTTCCTCTCTCTCATGGCTGCATTCAGTGTTGCAGCAGCTGGAGACAGGGGTGCCCATGTGCAGCCAGCAGAGAGAGGTTACCACAGCTTTTGTATCATCCCACACCCCCTTTTCAGATGAGCATGGATTTTTGATCACGAATCCCCCTCAGCTACATCACCTTCCATAGTGCCAAGGGAGCATTTCTCTGTGTGTTTTCATAAGGACAGAGGTGCATGAGACTGTTGGCTTAGTGGGAAGAGATGATTCAGAGCAGGCTGAAGTGGTCCCATAAATTCTGTGCTTTTGCAGAGTGCTTGCACTGCAAGCAGCCCCTGATGGCATCTCATGAAAGGTGCTTTTTTCTTGTCTTCACAAGCAACATGACTGGAGAAACATCTTTGAACCCTAGAGTTCTCATGAAGAGAAATCCTGATTCCACTGAGGCTAATGGGAGTTTTGCCAGATTTCAGTGAGAGCTCGGGTTTGTCTCCTTGTTTCACCAGCAGAACCCAGGCCTCCCTGGGTCACTGTTGCTGTGCAAATGGTAAATAATTAATATATATATGGTGAGGTGGTGCCATGTAGTAACATTTTCCAGCCTTCCCTTTTTCTTCCTCCTGTGAAATCTTCCACTCCAGTATCAGATCATTGGGATCTTCACAAATTAGGAAGAAATCAATCGAATCATGAATAATTAGCATATATTTTATAATCTGATTGTGCTGGAAGTAGTTAACTCTGCATGACATGGCTAGCAGGCCATGAGATTTTGTTGTTTCAATATGTAGTATTTGTGAAGAACAAACTGATTCTAAAACGCATACCTTTTATTTTAATCACCATGTTTTCATTAAAACCTTCCAAACAGAGCTTGTAGGAACTGGATCTTGCAAGATATTACATTTGTGCCTTTAAGGTTAATAATATCTCTGAATTTTGGGAAACTGCTCCAGAATAGACAGCTATTCGCATGACTAAATGTTTGCACAGGATCAGACCCTAAAAAAAGTAAATACTTCTTCCCAATGGCCCACTTTTCTGCAGTGTATCTGCTCGCCACATGCCTGCATTTTTGTGATGTCTTGCTATTTATAATCAAATGGCCTTGGTAGGGGGATGGTATGTTAAACTTGGAGCTGGCAGAAAAGGAGACTAATAATTGAAGTGAAGTATGTTAGTAGAAACAGTACAATATGTGAGACTTGTTGGTATAATGACTCCACCCCTGTGTGCCCACTTATACAGATTTCTCCAGTTTAATATACAGGTGACTTATGCTTTCCACTGGCAAAGTTATTTATTTTTTAATGTATTTTTCAGTGAGGTTTGCACTGTTTATGGTGTGTTGCAAAAGTGCAATGTTCTGCTTAGTTTTTCCCACTGTGACTTTTCAAAAAGGACATGGAAAATAAAGGTAACAAAAGAATGGGGTGATTTTGCTGCAGCTTGGTACATTTTAATGTTTCCCTGGCTCATATCAAAGACAGCAATTAAGTTTATTAAATATATTGCCATGTCAGAGCTCACATCCTGTTTAGAGCAGTGATTAGGGGGGAGCAGCAGAAACTTGAGGGCCTGTTTTTTCCACCTATGGACTCCTAGAAACAGAGAATATCCTGAGGTGGAAGGGACCCACAAGGATTATCAAAGTGTGCTCCCCATCAGGTCAAACTAGGTCCTGCAGAGCCAAATTCAGCCTCCAGGCTCAGATCAGAAGGAAAGAAAACAGTGCTCAGAGGGTGAGGACAAAGTCCAACAGTCAGGAAGCCAATACAGAAGTTAGAAGGGCTGCCATGAATTTTTTCACTTAGTCAGGCATTAACCAAGTGAGCTTAAATGGGATTTAAGGCTGAGTGTGCTGAAGGCACTTATAGCATCAAAGGCAATTTGGGACATCTAAATTAAGGGATGATGGATTAATTCCCTCCATATAGAGACTGTAAATACAGAGACTGTAGAAGGGAAAAGGAGCTTGTGGCACCAGTTAGACCCAGGTGTCTGCAGGTAGGAGTGTGGTCCTGGCCTTTCCTCATTGCTTGTGCAAAGGGAGAGAGGATCTTTGGGATGTGCCAACGTCCAGCCACACCTACACTGAGGAGTCACAAAGCTCTGGCAAGGACTGAGCCTCTGCAAATTGTGACCATGACTCCAAGTGTTTATTATGTGCCAGAGAGAACAAGCCAGATAATAATTTCCACACAGGGAAAGGACATGATTTACAAAGAGCTCAGTTCTCAGACAATATTGTTTGAAGTGTGAAAAGGCCTTCCTGAAGGGAACTGCTGATGTTTACAACATTAAATCAAACTCTTACTGAGTTCATCCCCACACTCTATTTATTTTGGAACATCACTGATATTGTGTGTGTGTGTGTATATGTATATACATGCATGGATGTGTGTGTGTGTGTGTGTGTGTGTGTGTACATATAGAAGAGTTATGATCCCTCAGCATTATCCATTACAGCTAACTCCATGTTTCCTGTCATCATACTCAGGAGTATTTCCAAGCACTTTTTGGCCAGCACAGCATTTGAGTTGCCTGCCTTCAGAAGGAAGGTTCAGAAAATAATGGTAGATGAAAGGCTCTGCCTGCAGTTGTGGGCAGAGAGAGACATTTGCTTGCAGCATGCTAATGAAGAACTGTCCAAAAGGAAATTTGCTGGTTTTGTCTTTGTTGGAGGTTCCTCTCAAAGCTTAGAAGTGGTATAGCCGGATAAATTGGTGTGATAAGTCTGAAGTCAGCTAGAGAGCTAAAATAAATTAGATACTATGAAATAATATTTGATCATTAGATTAAATTCCTCTCATGTGCAGGATTAGATTTGTTATGGCTATTCATGAGAAATACCCTTAGCTTCAGTGGATGTGTTTGGGATGGGGAGCCATCATTCTTGGTCTCTTGGTGTCCAATACTGTGCATTGAGATGTTACATATTTAGAACTGGATGTAAAACCAGCTTCAACATGAAGTTCCCCAAAGCATTGCTAGGGTGCAGCTGCTTTCAGGTGCTGCAAGATGGGAATCCTGGGAGAAAATCCAGGTTCCACTTAGACTAATCAGTCCTTGCTTGGTTCTGGGTGATGCTCAGCAGGATAACAGATGATGCATTATTCTGATTTGTTTAATTTTATTAGGTAGAAGCAATGTTTTTTACTGGGCCAAGTAGGACAGTTGGTAAAAAAAAAAACTCAGTGCTGACGTAGTTAACTTCAAAGTTAACTGCAAAGGCAGAAACTATTGTTCAGGACTAGATAAGCATCAGTCTGATTAGCTCAAGTTGATTGCAGTTTCTCAGTGAAAATGGAGCTGATTTCTAGTGGCAAAGTATATGTTGTGCTTGAGAGGGTGGGAGAAAGAAAGAAAAAAAGAAAGATACTAAGGTATTTTTGTCCTAAAAGGAAAAATGAGATGGTTTATAGCCTGTGGATCTGGAGAGTTAGGGAAATGTGGGTGGTAAATTACAAATGCACTAAAACCAGTCCTTGGTAATTTCATTTTTTCTCTTCTCAGCAAGGGAACTAAAGTTTATGATTAAATACATTTGGTATAAATGTGAGGATGCTCATGATACCCACCACAGAGCAGATCTGTGTGCCCAAAGCATATCTCATTTTGCATATCTAGTTGAGAGTATAAAGGGTGTGAGTTTTCCCTGCTCACCTCCACCTTTTCCACGTCCTGAAACCCCCCCACCTCCAACACAGCACCAACAGCAAAGGGATGATAACATTGCTCGTTTTCCTAGAAGTAAAACTATACTATAAACACTATAACACCAGGAGTATTTCATAAAAGTTGCAAAATCTTCCAAGTGCAGAATGCAGTCTGAAAGCACAGTGCTCGTGTTACAGCATTACAGGATTAACAGGGTGGTTCTTCAGAGGCGGCTTGGAGAACAATCCCACTCCCGACTTTGGCAGCTGGGGCTGCGTTCTGAGCCACACCATGCAGCATACCAGCACGTGTTGGAACAGCTCCTGCTACACTAAATTAGCCCCAGCAGTGCTGTTATTTTGCCCTGATTAGAAACTATCATCTGCAAGGTGCTAATGTTGCTGAAGAGCCCTAAGATGTAGGATGGTTCCACTGCTGTAGCATCTGAGGGCTTCACAGGATGTCTGCCCTTCCCCTTGTGAAGTAAACAAATACTGTTCTGCCTATCTGGAAAACACCCAAATACCAAGACTTTTTTCCTGGAATTGCAAGAATTGCATAGTGAGCATAGAGTTAGAGGTGGTAGCAGGCAGTTTGTGAACTATTGGAACCAGCAGTTTCTTATTGAAACCACCAGCATTTCAGAAAATGATCCCTAAACTAAAAATAATAATATTAAAAAATATAGACTCTATTGAAGCTACACACCAAATCAAAAGCTTCATATGACAAAAATGTATTTTCAAATCCTTGTGGAAACTGGCAAGAACAATCTTCTGGAACAGCTGGCAAGGACATCATGCCCCAAGAACTTTTTCTATCTATGTTCCCAAATAAGATTTGACAGGTGGGGAACAGGATCTCTTCTTACAGAGTTTGTAACCAACTTGTTTATAAAGCAAAATGCGTCATTAGCTTTGGTGGAAAAATGTCCTGTGTGAGTGTAAGTGAATTTTCTGTCTTTGTCTCTTTGATCAGTTAATGAAGGGATGGTTTGGCTTGTAATTTCTTCTGAGATCTGCAGTGTGACAGCCAGTGCTCCCAGCTGCTGTGTGTTGAGGGCACCTGCCTTCACCAAGGAGATGTTGGACAGAGCGGGGTGCTCGTGACATTTTGGAGTGACTCTGACGAGCAGTTTGCATTCCCACCAGGAAACTCTGCTAGGGCTTGTCCCGGAGTGTGGACTGCTTGGGGTCCATCAGGGCCTGTGCTGAGCCTGGCAAAATTCACTGTGCAGGACAGGGGTTGGAACAGTGAATGTGATGCTTAACCCAGTTAGTGCCTCACAAAGATTTTGGTCACCTGGTTCCAGTAGGAAATCCAGGAAATCCAACTTGCCTTGCTGTCAGTGGGAAAGGTGATTAGAAGCAATCATCAAAGAAATATCTGAAGTTCATCCAGTTCTCAGCCAAACACCTCCCTTTCTCTGTCAAAAGCACAGGGACCCAGGAGAGGAAGTCAGGTGCCATCTGGGAGCTGTGCTTTGCCCAGTTCCATCTGCCTGAGGCAGAGGCTACATGGCAGTGCGACAGGGCCCTTCCCAGCTGGGTGAGAGTTACCCTGAGCAGAACCCTGCTCCTTCCTGCCCACAATCCTACTGGCTCCAAGCACTCTTGAATAACCCAATAGAGATGAGCTCAGTTGCAACAGGATGAGATTGATGGGTCTCCACTCTTGAGACATGAGGGTTTTAGTCCTTCCTCCCAAGGGTAAGTCATTCCTCTCATCTCTCTCTGATGAAGGTCCTGGGAGATTGTTGTCAGCTGGAAGGCAGGCAGCAATTTGGAGAAGGCTGGTCTCAGCACTTCTTACATGTGCCAAGGACATGAAGGCAGAAAAAGCAGCATGTCCTTAGGAGAACAGGGTTACAGTTTGGAATGATCTGGGCAAAGTGAAAGGGGTGTCTCCAATGCATGGGACACATAAATGGAAGCAGCAGGCTGGGGTATGTAAGCAGAGTTTTGTCTTTTAAAAGCACAAAGCAATGCTGCCATTCTGCTGCCTTAGTTGGAAAACAGAGAAAGTTTGGGTGCTGCCCTTGAAGGAAGACGTGGAGTAGCTGGAGAAAATCCAGAGGAGCTCACTAGATCAGAGGATTAGAAAACATGAGTTATGAAGAAACAGTGAAAGAATCAGTTTGTTTAGTCTGGAGAAGAGAAGACTGAGAGAAGTCATGATAACAGTCTTCAAATATGTGAAAGGATGCTTCAAAGACAAAGGGAATATTTTCCATGTCTTCTAGGAGATAGTGAGGCACTGGAATCAGTTGCCTGAGGAGTCTCCATCTTTCAGAGATCTTTAGGGACTCGTTTGTCAAATATTTGTCAAAATTGTTTTGACAGAGCTGGGGTGGGCAGAAGGATTAGATGATTGCTGAGTCCCCCAGACCTTCTGATTATCCTCTTGGAGCTCCCCAGACTGGAGACTCTGGTCCTGGTAGATTATTACATTTCCTATAATTTTTTATTGTTAATGCACACTGTTTTTCTAAACTGTGGCTAAAAGTATTGATTTCTGAAAGTATCACATCCAACATACAAGGTAATCTTTGGCTCCTTACATCACCTACATTAGATAGCACTCACTTCTCCAGCACATGGCCCAATGTCAGTTCACTGCAGTGCCTGCTCTTCCAACAGATCTCATGCCTTGAGGAGTTAAATGAATCAATAAAATCCCCTTGATATAATGGAGTTTAGTGAAGACTTGAATGCATCTTTATCTGTTAAAGAAACTATGCAAGATCAATCAATTATTTTAGGTTAAGTGTTGCTCAGCTTAAGCTCTTTGTGCAGTCTGTGCTGCTTCAATGAGTGTCCATGTCTCTGCTTTACTGTAAATCTACATTAATCATGATAAATGGCTATGTACGTTGCAGGGTAGCAGGAGAATCTCCAGTGCAGACAGAAATCAGACAGGTTGGAGTGGCTCTGGAAGCTTCTGCATAGCTGAGGCTAAAAGTAGTCTCAGCCTGTTGATGTTAAGTCTTTGGATACAGAGAAAAAAAAAAAGGTAGAATGTTTTCATCTGGGGCTGTAATGGTGATAGAAAGCAGCCATGCACCAACAAAATCAGCCCATACCTCTGTGTAGCTGCCAGACCTACAAGCCTTATCTACACTGGCTTTTATTGCCCCAGATTTTCCACCACAGCTGCCAGCGGAGACAGCCGTGGGAAGTTTGAACCCGTCTGTGAATGAAATCATTGTCACTGCAGGTGCAGTCACACCTGGGAGCAGCCTCTCTGCTGAGAGGAAAAAGTAAGAGTATTTAAGAGGGGGAAAAGATTTCTTAAAATGTGCCTGCTCTGTCCATTTCAGGATCGCTGGAGATACAGCACTCAACAAAAACATCCACGAGTCGGTCAGTGCTCAGATCCGGAAGAACTTTGCAAAAAGCAAATGGAGAGTAAGTGACCTGTCCTGAGGGGTGACACTGACACACAGCTCTGCCATAAGGCCACCCCTGCCTCAGGGTGGTGCTTTTGTGGCCCAAAATTGTGGTCAAAATGGTTGGTCCAGGCTTAGGTTACATGACCTTGCAGGGCCTGTTATCCAGGATGGTGTTTGCCAAGTACCAAATGTAATGAGTGTGAGAAACGAGGCTGGGACTGCTCATAGCTAAAGCACCCGTGGTTTTTGGTGGAGTGGGGTCAGCACCACACAGGAACATGAAGAAATGTTGGGAGAGGGATGGATTTGTCAAATACGACTTTCTTGTAGGCTGCTGCATCCCAGCTGAGCATTAGGAGAGCAAAGGTTTGATAATGCACTTTCTAGTTTAGAATTTGGGAAAAATTTGAAAGATAACAGGCTTATTCCCTTCTGAAACTCTGAGCAGCCAGGAGAGGAGCACAAGTAACCCTTCCATCTCCAATTTTTTTTTTTTATGCTCGATTTCTTTCTGTCTGTTTTTCTCCAGCAAGCATTCAACGCCACGGCAGTCGTGCGGCACATGAGGCGGCTACACCTCGGCAGCAGCCTGGACAGTGCCAGTGCCAGCGTGTCCAGCACCCTCAGCCTCGCCACGCCACTCCCCGACGCAGCCACACGGAAAGATTGTGAGTAGCCAACATCCCAGGAAAGCTCCCACCACGGCAGCCGAGCAAATCCACGGGATCCCCGTCTTCCCTCGGGCCCCAGGCTGCAGTCCTCGCTGCATAGGTTTGGCTTTGTGCAAGCAGGCATTTAAAATTAGGATTTGAAACTGGAAGTCATTTTTGTCTGGCCGGGAAAATAGTGTTTCAATTGGAAAAGCCTATGTGCTAAAAAAAAAAAAAAAAGATGTTTTAGCTTGGTGATTTTTTGAGAGAAAACCACAGTTTCTTGTGGGGAAAAAGGGCTTTTGCTTGGGAAAAAGACCCAGACCTCCACAGTAACAAAGTTTTGCATTTGGTTGAAATTTGAAGAAGTTCACTCAAACTATTTATGTTTGAGTTTACAGTATTATGATAGGGAATTTTTCTGTAAAAATTGCCTTTCCATTTCCATGGAGAAGACTGATCCTGCCAGTCAGACCCAGCTTCTCTCTTCCTGGACCAAGTTAAGTTCCTGCACAAAGAGGTTGATTTGTCTGAGCAGGATTCAGAGTTTCTACACCATCATGGGACTTGGCCCTCTGCCATGTTTGTTTTGTGCTATAATTGACGTTTGCAAGCTGCACACTGGACTCAGATGTTTGGGATATATTTTTTCTCAATGCCAGGGAAGGAGACATGGCAGCAAAGGGATTATTTGGAAGACAGACATGCATCCTTTGCAATGAAACCTATTTATTCTCTGGCTTCTGAGCATTTCTTTTATTCTCTCCTGTCCATCTGAAGATATTTTATATCATGCAGTGGAGGGATGTGGACTTTACAGTTGAGGGGGTTACTTTTAAAGTGCAGCTCTATAAAGGAATGCTTTGCTGTGGACATGAAGTAGTGATTTCTAGACTACCTTGCATTATTCTGGAGCTGAAAGCACCTTTTAGGATGGGTTTTGAATAATGCTGCTCTCTGCTTCTGCCACCCCTGCTTGCCTCCCCCTGCTCCTTGACAAGGACATGCCACCAGCCACAGTCCCCATGGCTCTGTGGGGAAGCTGTTTCCTCTTGCTGCCATGGGCACAGTTTCCCCCACAAACTGTGGGGTGGGTTCTGCCTTCTGGGTACTCTGTGAGATATTTTTTCAGCCTGTGCTCTGGCTGAGCCAGGGGAGAGCCCCTTCCCTCTGCATACTGGGCCTGGTGGGGATTCATACCTGGTGTCCAGTTTGTGATGCCCAGTGCCAAATCCTACAGCTGCTGCCAAAAAAACATCACAGTGCTCCTGGCACACACCTGGCACCTGCAAAGCAGTGCTGCTGACCAACCTCAGAACACTTCCAACCATGCACTGGCCATGCAGCAATGTAGAAAACCCCTTGCATGGGAGAAACATCTCTTGATTTTGGTTGCACTATGGCAGTGCTGGACTCCAGTCAGATCTAGAGCATCTGATGAATGCTTTGCTGCTAAGCTAGTGGTGATTCATGCAGTTAAACTGGTGGGTGATTAATCTCCATCCATCCATTTGATTAATCTCAAATGGTGCTAATTAAAGGCAATTAGTAGTCTGAAAAGTGTTAAGACATGTGTGAACAGGAAGGGTGAGAAGAGAAAGAAATCTGTTCAACCACTACAGAACCAGCAGGTTCCTGTGCAGAATCCAACCATATTTTACTGTGGTACAGTCAACCAGGACATGAAGGATTAAACTAGATGTGTTAAAATAGGATGAGTTTTTACATGCCAGAAATATGAGGCAGAAAACTACTGGAAGATTCCCAAGCACCCCAGGTTAAGTCTAGCTTGGCAGACAATGCAGAAGAGCTTTCCTTCCTCAAATAAATAATTTAAAGAGTTAGGAGATGCTGGAGCCCCAGAGAACCAATGAGGAGAGCCAGCAGCAAATACAAGGAGTTAAGAGGGAGCTGACATATCATATCCATTTCACCCAATATCTCCCAATAGGAAAAAGGAAATCTCTGAGATCTCTGTCCTACCTCTTTATTTCTCAGCAGTTTTCTCTGGGAACAGATTCCTTGCATGAGAAAGATCCAGTGCAGCAAGTTACATGATCCAGCTGTGCCACCATTACACAACAGAATGCTGCCTGATGCTATTAATAGTCACTTTATGAACTCTCCAAATTGTTTCAAATGCAGCAATTTCACACCACTGAAGACAATTAAGTACGGCCTGAGAGTAGGTTAAGTCAGGCTGCATCTGAAACCTCTGTAGCAGGGCAGAACAGAGATCAGGCATTAGCCTGTATTATGCTTCCTGTCAGGAAACAGGAAGGGATTCCTAAGGGAATCAGTCAGGATTTCTCACGTGTATTGGCCTGATTCTCAGTCCATGGCTAGTTTATTCAATTCAGTCATGATTGGACTGCCTAGATTATTTAGGTCCTAGAGCTCTGTATTTTTAAGATACTAGATAAATTGCAGTGTGATGCCAAGTTGTCAAATGTCAATGGGAAATGGAATGTGGCCAAGTATACGTACAGCATAGTCATCCTTGAGATTGAAATACCTTCTTGAAACACGGAAAAGTAGTCAAAAGTCTTAACAAGTATCAAAAAGATTCTGGAGAGTCAAAAGGCCATGTCAAACTTCAGTTTGAGAATATATTAATATAGGCTTCATCCATCCTTTATTCACCAGCCTGGAAAAACGAACTGTATTTCTAATCACTCTGAGCCTGCATCTTATCAGAGCAAGGTGACCATGCTGGGTCCCCACCTAACAGCTTCTGATGCACCAGAATACTGGTACTCAAGAGATACTCAACCTCACATCAACCTCCTCACTGGAAGTCCTGGAGACATCCCAGCAGAGCCTGCAGCAATGTGAGCTGTCACTAGAGTGATGTCCAAGTCACACAAATTTACATTCCCTCTAGATTTACTGGAAATCAGCAATGAATTTGACCCACTGTACCTCTTTATCAGCAGCTTCCCAAGATGCCTGAGGAACTGTGTTTAGCCCAGGTGCAGTCTGTTGGTTTAGCTAGATGGCCATGGTGAGACATTTAATCATCTTTAACATGCCCAAGAGGAAATTATTCTGAGCAAGTACAATGCTGGAGGGATTTTTGAATCTCACAACTCTTTGTCTTCAGCCCTGGAACTGTGGCACTGGTGTGGCCGAACCCATACTGAAACTGGACCTTGAGTCCCTGTGAGATGTGTGTGCACTGCTGCTGGTGGCAGTAGGTGAATGACCATGGGCAGAAGATGCCCTGTGGAGGTACCCAGCCAACCCACCACTACAGGAAGAGCAGCAGCCCCTTCTCCAGCTGCAATCCTCTCCGCTCCGTAGCGTGCTACGAAACAAACTCAGCTTTGCCCAAGTTCCCGCCTCCAAAAATAACATTTCTAACTGTGTTTCTGGCTTTCCTTTTAGGTATGTCTCCATCCACTCTCTGTAGTTTTGTTTCATCTGCTTCTTCAGGCGTTTCTGCGGTAGGAGGGGACCGGAGACCCAGACCCACCACAGTGACCACAGTGCACACAGGGAGCAAGTGAGCGCCGGGGCGGCGAGGAGCGGGCAGGCGGCCTCGAGCCGTCCCACCCTGCTCGGCCAAGGACTAGAAGAAAGAAGATTTTTTTATGGCCATATTTTATACTGCAATTCTGAAATGTTTCATTTATCACAAACTGCAATGACTCCAGGAGGAACGGAATCTAACAGTCTCTGGTGCTGTACATATATATACATATATATATATATCTATATATATAAATATATATATGTATGTGAGTCTAGCAATGTTCTAACTAATGAACACTCATTATTTCCCCCAGTGATCTTCTCTCTTCTCAGTGTAGGTAACAGTATATGTTGTATTTTTTTCCATTAACTACAAACATCTCAACTGTATTATTTAAATAGAAATACTTTTCTGAGCATTTTTTTTTTCTTTTAAAAATTACTTCAAGTAATGTCCCTCTTCCAGTTTGCTGGGGGATAGGCTATTTCTGTAGGTAGGAATTGGCATTAACTTTGCAACATGGGAGGATTTCAATGGCATGCCATTTCTTGCTCCTCAAATTGGACTGCAAGTCTGTCTGGCTTTAGCAGAGCTGTTACTGCTCAGATTAAGAAACTGCTGCTTTCCCCCCCATCCTCCTCCTTGAAAGCCGTGGGGAGAATTAAATTGCCACCAGCTGGGAGTTAGCTCATCCTTGGCCTCATTCCTGTTGTGCTGGGGATCAGCACCCTTGTTTCAGAGGAGAGGCAGGGACATGGAGTCAGGCAGGAGCTGACCAGAGCTGTGCAAGGGAAATGATAGCACAGTCTCATCCTGCAGCTCCCATCTCCTTTGACTTGCTGTGTGTTGTGAGCAGAGGGAAAGAAAATGAAGATACGGGGGTGGGAATCATCATCTTCTGCCACTGATTTGCTGTGCTGCCCTCGAGCAAGACATTCAATTCACCAGCCTCCCTGTAGTGTGGCCTCTGGCATGGGGTGAATCCAGCCCAAGGGCTTCATGAGATTCTGAGCACCCACAGCTCCTTCAGGCTTTGCCTGGCATTGCTGATGCTCAGCACCTCCCAGTGTAGCCAAAAGTGGGGAGAGGAGTGGTGCTTGAAGCCCTCTGTAAAGCACTGGCAGGTTCTTGGGTGCAAATTGCAGGATCTGGTGTAGTGTAGCTCCATCATGATCAGGCTGAGGGCTGACAAGGAGTGCTGAACTGGGAAAGCAGGACCCTGCTGGAAGGCACAGGCACAGCTGATGGCAGGGGTGGCACTGGCTCTCCTTCCTCCCCAGAGACTCATATACCAAAGGAAGCCAAATTTTTACCCATTTTTTAATTACTGAGTGCATGCACTTTCCAGGCTCTTTGTGCTGGTGCATTGTTCAGGAATAGCCACCACAACTGTTGTGCTGCTGTGCATTAAAGCAGCTTGAAACAGAGAAGAGAGCAAATTTTCCCAATTTGCTAAAAGGCTCCCTCCAGGTTACCTCAATGAAATTCCCATCTGATGTTGCTTTGAGGAGGTGAGAGGGGAGGCAGGTGGCAGAGGAAGATGCCCTTTACTGGGCACTCTGAGCCCCTCCCATCCCAGACAGGTCCATCCCTGCCAGAGGCACAATTCCCTGCAGGGTGCTCTGTTGCCACGCTTGCCTCACTTGTCCTGCACAAGAAATTGTGAAATCCAGTCACAGACAGAGCTGAATGTATCAGGCAATAGTGCCTGTGCTGGGAAAAGCCATAAGATAGGTATTTTTCATCAAGATTTCTATACCCTGCTCCAGCTTTAGCTGGTTGGCTTCACACAGCAGAGCTGGGATTTCATCCATCTTTCTAAAAAAAAATGAAAAAAGAAACCTGGAAAAGCAGGTGGCAGTGAGCCCTGCCTCTGTTTGAAATAGCCACTCCAGTGGCACTTAGAGCTGCTGCACCAGATCTCTAGTTTCCTCTGTGTTAAGTTGCTCCCTGTTTTCAGAGGGCTGTGGCACATCTGAGGGAGCCCCGGGTGCTGCAGCTGCCATGGATGCTCACACAGAAAAGACATCAGCTTCTCATTTTAGGAAAGATAGCACATACTATCTGCTAAGATATTGGGGGCTTATATCAAAACTCCATATAATTTCCACAATGAAGACTTCTGACCAAGATTTGGGCAGACTGAAGGGCAGGGGATCTCCTTGCTGCAAATCACGCTCCTGTCCCTGCACCCCGGCCATTGCCATCATACACTTTTTATCAGCATTTGCATCTGAGCTCTTTATGTCTTGCTGCAAAAGCATTAAAACATTAATAGAATGCATTTTAAACTCAGTCTAAGGCTACTTTATTTGACCAGCCTGAGTAAGGAGGTTTTAGTTTTGAGAGACTCCAACCCCAAAGAAATTCAAGGTATTTCAAACCCCTGTGATTTCATAAGCACAGTTGGCTCTGTTCTGCTGCAGTTGCAGGTTGTAAATAGACTCCCAGTCTGGCATCAGTGGAGTTCCCCGTATTTACAGACATGCAACCAAAAGCAGGATTTAGTTAGGGAATAATTGTCTCTGGAATAATTTAGGGGGAAAAAAAATAAAATAGGGAATAATTTTGTCTCTGTAGAGCAATTTTAAAGTTTAGGGCTCAAGTGTTCCCTCTGTGCCTCCTCTTCTGAAACCTGAGGTCTGGTTTGAACGTGACCTCAGCAGTTGCTGTGGCCACTGATCAAAATACAGCATCCAAATGAATCTTGTAGAAAAAAGAAAAGCAAATGGATTTCCATCTCCGAAACAAAGAGCAGTGACAGGAGCAAAGGCAGACGTGCTGTCCTGCAGATGGGGGGGTTCCCATGCACTGGCTGCCCCTCCTTGCTGGGTGCTTTCTGTGGTTTTTTGTTGGGAGGGTATTTTTCCTTCCATTTTTGGAATTAGTGTGATTTGGTTTTGTTTCTGCAAGTAATATTCTGCCTTGGTTGTGTAATTTATCATTCTCTTTGGCTTGCTATCAACTGCTGGGATCATAAGATAAGAAACAGAAGCACTTAAGAGCAAAATTGTTTCTTTCTGCTGCAGTTTTGGTGGTGGGGAGCTCTTCTTTGGTATCAGTGAAACACAGCTGGAGACCTGACCTAGGTTCACCAAATGCTTAAAGATCTCTCCTGAAGCATCACTTGGTTAAAACGTCTCAGTTTAAATCTGGGTAAATCTGTTAACAGGGCTGACTTGGCAGCAGCCAGGCCAGATCTGTGGGAGGGGGCTGGAGACATTTGCCCCTTGGCAGCACAGCCTGTTAGGGCAAACACTCCGGCCTTCTTGCCAGGGATGCTCCAGTGCTTTTGCATGTCCTTCCTCTGCCCCAGCCTGCTTCTGCTCAGCCACTCTCACAGGAGAATGCAAAGGTGATGTAAATAATGTGGACATGAGGGGAATGGCCACATAGCCCCACAGTAGAAGCTTCAAAACAAATCCCCAGCTGGCCTTGCGATGAAGGACAAGGTAGAAAAATCACTCTGGGCTCTTTTCCAATGAACTGTCCCACTAAACAATCTGTGATTTGCTGCTTGCATGAGGACTTCAGCCTGGACTCTGTTTGTTACCCTTTCCTGCTTTACCTTACTGGTACCAATGTGTTTTTCCTTTGTAAATTGTTTTCCTCAGCTCCTTCCCCTTCTTTTTCTTTGCTTGCAGCTTTGATTGTTGATTTTTACCTCCAGAGTCACAGAGGCCATCTCTGATGCCAACAGCAGTGCTCTTGCTGGGAAAACAAAACAAAACAAAACAAATCCAGAAAAGCTCCAGCTGGCCCCTTAGCCTGCAGAAGAAGTTGTGAGGACAGGCTGCCCATGAACTCTGCAAGCTGAAAGTCAGTATTGCAGTGGCAAGGGCTTCTGCTGATGATTTTGCATGTGACTTCATTCTCAGTGCATCCTAACTTTCTGCTGGATCACCCCTTCTGCAGCATGAAATGGATATTGGCCCTGCAACACGACTAGTGGGGAAGTAGGATCGTGGGGGAAAACCTGGCAGTGTTGCTTTCCTGAGACTGTGTCACTCTGCTGCTGCTGTCTCTTCTGTCCTGGTTGCTGCTGGTGCCATTAGAGTAGTGGGTACAAAAAAAAAAGAAAAAAAAATAAGATTTTACCTATGTTTTGTGTGTCTGTTATGGTTGTGGTGCTGAAATAAAACCAAGAAATTTGGTTCATTCCTCATGTGAATCAAACCACAAAGAGGGGTGTGATCCCACTGGCAGACATCTCCATATAGTTCTACAGTAGGCACTGGATATGGGTTTCTGCTGTGTGTGTGTCCTGCATACCTCCATGACTATTGACGGTATTTTTATTTATTACCAATTGTTTTGGGTCCCTGCCTGGTTCTGATGAAATTCAGGTCTTGTCCTAAGGTTTTTTCTGTCCCAGGGCCAGCATAACCCCTGATCTCAGGCTTTTTTTCCCAAACCCTCTGCATACCAGAACATGGGCCTCCAGGGTGCCATGAAATGCAGTTGCAGCTGGCCCCAAGGTTGTCCCCTTCCTATTTTTAGGGAAGCAATCCACCAGAGAAAGCCAGATAGCTTTCAGCCATTGGCAAGCAGAGAGGATATTGCCCTTTGATGTGAACTTGGCATTAACAAGATCAGCTCTAGGGAAACCTGTGCTATTACTTCCTCCTGTGATAACAGCTCCAGTCCTGAGCAGCACTGAATGAGCACCAGATAAAAACACCAGATTGACTTTGCCAGTAAGATCGTGCAGGCTGTAGCCTGTTCCTTTTGCTCTTTCCAAAGAATCAGGGGATTAATCTACTGGCTAAATAAGTTTCTAGGCTGAGCCCCAAGGTACAGAAGTAGCTTCCATTCAGCATATGGAAATTCTCATTTGATGCAGTTATTCCTGTTCTAGCTCCCGTGCATATTTACCTCTCTGAATTTGGGCCTGAATGCATCCCAGAAATTATTAATGGGAAGGGAGTTTTGCCTTCCATATTGTGCTTATTTGCACCAGAAACTTGAACACTCATTCAAGCAAAAAGCAGAAACACACACGGAGACTACAGTATCCAAGGAAAACAGCATCAAGACCAAGGGGGGAGGATTAGTTAGCAAATCACTGTCAGCAACGGCTGAGCGAGGGAACAGCACTCAAACACTGCATGAACTCTTGTTTCCCCTGGTTAACCAGTCATCCCATATTTCATGCCCAGCAGCAAGTTTCACTCAATCCCCTTTGTTTTCCCTCACATCCCTGAAGCCAGGTCCTGCCTTCCCACCCTGTGTGCGAGGTGCTCTGGTCTCTGTGACACACGTGTGTGTTTGTGTGTGCACGTGCGTGTTGTGGCCCCAGGGATCACAGATCTCTCTGGTGGGTGATCAGGAGTTGGTCCAGGATTTTTGGTCTAACTTTGCACGGTTGGGTCAAAGCTGTGTAAATAGTGTTTGTAGTGCAGGAGGCTCTTTAGCCTGGGCTCTGGTTTTCAAGATCCCCTTCCCCACCACAAATAGTGCCACTTATCTGTCCAGGTAGCTTTTTTTTTCCCTTCCTCTTCATAAATGCTAAGGTCAGTCAAATGGCTCTTACAGTCTTTCCATGCTCCAGAGTGGAATCAGGGCATGTGCGCTCACAATTGTGAAAAAACACTGCTGAACTAATGATGGCATCAACTGTCCAATAAATGCATGATACTGCACTGCATGTATTAAACTGCTGTTCACTGTTTCTGTATTTCCCAAGCATTTCTTTATGCACATTCAACCCAACCTTCTCTCTGAGGGAATTACTTCTATGTATTGCTTTTAAATGACTCAATGTATCTGTAACTTGAAATCCATTGTTAAGTTTAAGTAAATGCAAAAGCTGATGTTTTGTAAACAAGATACTGCAAAGCCTGGTAATGTATTTTGTCCTTCTGTTGAGTGCCCTGCAGCATGTATAGGAAGAGTCACCATCCAGAGCAGCTAAAAATTAGGCAACAGTCACACAGGTGTAGATGCAGGGAGCTGGGGAGGTGAGAATCCCTTTTTTAATACAATGCTTACAAATCTGATCTGCATCAAAAATTCCTTCCCTGGGTCACTAACGCTCAGAGCTACCAAGAAACACATTGGTTTTGTTGTCCAAATTGTCTCTTTGTTTTTTTCTTTTTTCCTTTTGGTTTGTTTTTCCTAGTGAAAATTCAGATTGGTTGACTCAAAATCTTAGTATTTTTCTCTTCCTACAAAATAATTCTTTCTCACCTGTTGCAGAATGAACTGCATTTTGGGGACCAAGATGCTGCAATTCTTTGCCTGCACAATGTAGGGCAGAGGGCTGAGCTGAATTTTCCCATCCTTTCCAAAGCATCACCAGCTAACTACTACCATTTAATCCCTGAACCTCCAAGTAATAGCATTTATCCACAGAAGAGTTTGGTGTGGTACTTCTCCATCTTCCACATGGAAATCATGTCCTTGCCTTCTCTTCCCTAAGTCATTGACCCATTTTCATCTGGGCTGGTCTTTTCAAGGCAGGGTACAGGATGGCTCCATGGTGCTTGTATTAGCTCCAGCCCAAACCTCTTGTGGGTATCAGCAAGGCTTTGGTCCCAGCTCCTGAGTGGCTGCTGTGTGGAAGATGCTCGAGTTCACAAAACTCAAAGCGGAGTCATGTGAAAGGACTGGGAAATTGCTCTGTGCTCCTGGCAAGGCCAGGCCTGGGGTGCAAGCACCATCCTGGTGGCATAGTCCTTGGAAATTATTCTCCATGGTGGCCAAAAATGCCATGAAGTCATGAGCCTCCCTTTAAGGGTGGTGCTCAGCCAGGGCTGTGCCATTGGTGAATCACTGTATGGCAGCACAACAAATCATCAGTTACAGACGTAAACCAGCCTGAGTTCAGATTGCTGAGGCAGCACACGGTGCAAGGCTCCACGAGGAGTTGGGTGTGTGCTGTGGTTCCTGGTGGGTGGGAGATCCTAGGAGGTTGCTCGGAACAGCTCTGAGCTTTTCCATCTCTCATCTTGCATCCCCTGAGCCCAGCATGGCATCACAAATGCTGAGTCTTACTAGATCAAGCATGACCCCCAAAGTGAAGAGTGTGGAAGGTTGCAGCTCAGTTGGTGCGACTCATGTTTTGGTCAACACAACATCAGTGACCTGCTGTACATTGACCTCTAGCTGAGAAACAATATTTTGGCCTATTTGGGCCTTTTTTTAGATAGATATTTTATTTGAGTCAGAAAACAGTGGGGGAAAAAAAAACGAAACCCTAGTCTGCCCAGAACAGTGACTCCCCAAATATCCCCAACTGTAAAACATCCCTCAGTTGACTTCTAATGAAAATGCAAGCATGTTTTCTACAAAGGCTTAAATCTTAAGGAATGTCAGTGTGCCTAATATTGCAGGTCTTGTGATTGATAACAAGTTCATAACAGCATCCATGTCCAAAAAGAAGGAAGAATGTGTATTTACTCCATGCATGTATTAAGGCATCGCAAAAGTTTTATCTGCGTAATGAGTTTGCAGTTCTGCAAATTGTTAATTGGGCTACATCTCAAGTGGTTCTTTGCCTTGACAATCATGTATACATATCGAGATTTCTATCATAATGACAATTTAAAGGGATGACTAATTGTTTTCCTCCAATAAATCAAATTAAATCAGCCTGATGTGAAGTCTGGTGATTTTGAGTGCATGAGTTTCCACCCACATGCAAGAGAGGGAGTGAATAATTTCTGCCGCTGTTCCACTGCCCTGTTGTGGTTTATGCGATGATGTTCCTTTATGTCCCAAAGGAGAATAATAATATTTTCTTTCTCCCCAGTTTACTCCATAGGGAAATTAATAAAAAGGTTGATTTGTCCTTCGGATTTTTCCCAAAGCTGTCAACGCAAATGGCGTTGAATGTCAACATATGGAGACATGGCTGTCTCCTGGGCACTGAGAATATCTGTGCAGGGCTCAGGAAAGGACATGTGCTTGTTGGAGACTGCTTACCTTTGAATTGGTCCTGGTGACTTACACACTCTGTGGTGGGAATCATCAGCAGAGAGGATTTTCATCAGTGAGAATTTCTGAGTCCCTTTGCAGTCAGCTGTGCTCTCCAAAGGCTGTTGAGTGTGCTCCATCATTGGCTTCATGTTCTTCCAGATGATGTTCCTGGTGTGTGTTATGATTTGCTTTTAATTTTTTCCCCCTATTTTTCTCCATTTTTGTTTCTTATTTTCTGGTTTTCACTCACTGGCACCCAAGAAATTCTCCCCCATTAAAATAGGTGGCAAAACCAACATGCTCAGCAGGGAGGTGGGCCTATGCTTGAGGCCAAAGCTAGGTGATTTTAGACACCTGGTTCAGTAACAGAGCTGAAACAATCAGCAGTGATGATGGCCAACTCACAGCAATATAAAGAGAAAGGCAAATTACTTATAAAGCTTTTATTTTGTGAACGAAGAAACAACCCCCAGAACCAACATGGTAAGTATTTGAAAGCTGTGGTGAGCAACTGTGTTCTCAGAATTAGGTTCTGATGGTGGGTTGTACCAGGACAGGTGAGATAACCTCTGATTTGTGCACTGGAAAAAGGACATCCATGGCAAGATACATCTTTGGAAAGGTACATCCATGTACAAAAATGCTGTCTGGAAGTTTTTTGGAGGTGGTGTGTGACACTGAGGCACAAACACATGATTTGCAATTTGAGGAGGAGCAGCAGATCCTGTAAAAAGACTGTGCAGTCTTTCCAGGTGACATAAGCCTGAACTCTGACGTTCTTTGTATACTAAGGACCTCACTCCCACCTGTGTGTAAATCATCTGGATTTAGCTCAAATTTGGCACCTACAGTAGATTAAGGTCTATCCCACATTTTACCATGGAATTAAAATCTCAGCCAGGAAAAGTTTCTCAGGTTTTGATTTTAAAGTCATGGGTTCCTGTGTAGGTTCAGTGGTCACTCAGAGTGCACCAGGCTCTTCCAAGTTCCCAGTGAGACTGGGCAGAAGATCACCCCAGGACCATTGAAATCCTCATGCATGACATCCTGATGATGTCATGTCAATATGCACTTAATCTTTGTACATTTTCTTTGATGCTATGTGCTCAGCCACATATTCTTGGCTGTTTGCAACAAGGGAGATAAAACATCAGTACAGAGAAGCCAGAGGGACAAGACCAAGATGCAACTGTATAAAATATTTTATTTGCAGCCTTGCCAAAATCCACAACTATGTTTGCACTGGAGGGAAGGGGACTGTCCTTTGAAGGCTTTCAGTGTTGGTATGCACTGAGGTCTGGCTTATGCCATACATCAGTCTTTCTTTGTGCTAGATCAACACCATTTCATGCTCTCTAGAATGACCCCTTCTCAGAACCAAGGCTCCAGTGGGCTGTGACAGCTCTTCTTTTGCACCCAAGAGGAGTTTTGAATGAGTGATGCCTGTTGAAGCAGAGAAAGTGCAGGTACACAACTTTGAGGACCATCCAACCTGGGTAGGGATAGACCCCTGTGGTTCAGGAGCAGGTGATGCTTAGAAGGATATGTTCTGCACAAAGCTTTAAAATCAGTGCTTGTGCAGTGTAAACAGTCCTACACTCTTTAATCATGCCCACATGGAATCTCTTCCTTCAGGCCAAACATTCCCAGTTCTGTGAATTCACAAAATCATATTGGTCTTGTGAGGATCCCTTTGGGCAGCTTTCCATGGGGAGACAACATGGGCCTGCCTTGCCCAGAAGCAATCCCAGGACACTCTAAGCTGTGATATGGATAAGAACACACACTCTTCCCACCTTATTATGCTTCCTTCCAGCTCTGGACATCCTTCAGGGAGAAAATCCACCTATATCACTGTTGGTGTGTGCCCTGCCTAGCACATCTGAGTCCCTGTTTGGTGGGCCTTCTCAACCATGCTGAATTACTGTGGTGATAAACATTCTTTCTATCTGTGGGGATGGGGAAGAGGGACCATCTGGATTATCACTACAAGTATTCAACTGAGTATTTCCAGATTGTTCAGTGTTTGGCCTTTCTGGATTATATTGGGATAAATTTCTGACTTCCAAACTTTGTTTGCTTATCCTGAATTCAAGAGTTTCTTTTCTTTTTTAATCTTTAGGATTTTTCTTTTTATAATTTCAATATGCTGATAAAGTTACGGTCAATTAATGATTCATTTACCTTCTTCATGAAAGTGTTTTGTTTAGGGAAATTAATAATAATAGAGCTGAGAGGCAATTTGTTGTTCCCATCAAACTCATGAACTTTGTGCTTTCCTTGGCGCCGTATAGACTCTTGTATGTTTTTCATTTTCTTTCTTTAGGGCAGAAGCAAGAGCTGTGTTCACATCTGTGCCTCAGCTTGCAGTCTAACAGTGACCAGAAATGCATAATAAATCTCAAACTAAAGCTTCTTTTTGTTGCAGGCCAGCTGGGCAGGTACCAGCCATATTAAGAATCGCATATCACGTCTTCAGGTTTGCATTTTGTTCAAAGTAGCATCTGAAATGTAACCTTCCCTCCCAGTCTTTGACCCAATGCAGCTCTGTGTAGCACCTAATTAGATCAGATCCCTGTTCCACTACAAAGAAAAAACAAAATTATAGTCATGGTGAGTCCATACTGACCTTCAGCGGGAGCTGACAGATGAACTCCTGTTCTCAACAAATAGAACACAGGCACATGATGGACACACACTTGGAGATATATTATATGGTAATACAATGCAATAGAATGCAATATTATATTATCTGTATTATATTATACAGTATGATATTATTACAGTGTCTCTGTCAGACCAAAGCAGAGGAAAACATGGCATTAATGGAAGGTTTGGTACTATTCTGCTGTGCCTTGTCACTACTCAAATTATAGGATTTTACCATGTATTTCAATTACCTTTTGGTCACAATATCTAAAGAGGAAATTCATCTGTGATCAGACTAGGGCTGAATTCTGAAGACAATGTGCATCTTTGCTGCCACCAAACATCAAGTTTACTTCTGAGTCCACTGACAATTACCTTGGAGGCTTGAATTGAGGAACTTCTTCCCTCTCTAAGTATTTGCAGCATACAGAGGGCACCATGTGCTTGAGTTTACTGATGGTGCCCATTAAATGTATGGAAAGAACCGACGGTCCAGTAATTCCTCTGGAAGAAAGTCAGAGACTTTCAGGAAGGAGCTGGGTTTGTTACCAGGACACCTTGGGAGGTTTCACTTATCTGTGCAAAGAAGGTGGTGACAGACTGATGAGGTGATATAGCACCAAATGTGGCTGAACAGATGGACAGGGTCCTGACACCTGTTCCTGGAAGTCACCAAGTCCAAGGATGCCTACAGCTATGGATGGCCTGGCAGGACTGTTGTGCTGTGCACCCAGGCCATGGTCCCCAGCAGCTGATGGACCTGTACCAGGTTGTGCCCGTTGCCACTAAATTGGTTGTAGTAAGATGAGCTGAGCACCTCAACTACAAAGTATTTAATTCCTTAAATTCTCCCATGGAGATGTAATACAGTAATTCTGTTCAGCTTCAGCCTCATAATTTGTTTTGATTATCTGTGGCCTTATGGTGGTGATTTAAACCTACTGATTTATCGATTCAGTCTTAATTGGGTCCTGAGCTGGGTCATTGCATCATTCTATCTTTAATTGTTTTAATTAAAGTCTAGCAAATTAGGCTGGTAATATGATTGCTTAGAGGAATTCTTGCCTGTTCATGCTTCTTAATGAAATCCATAAAAGTGAAAAAACGAATGAGCTTATCCTACTAAACTGCCACTTGTATTATGGAGTCTGAGCAAAACTCAGAAAATCAATCTGCAGTGTCCTTGGCTCTTTCACCAAATATATGTTTTCAGAAGGAGAAAACTTAGCACCTCAGCAAACATCCCCACAGAAGAACAAGCGGAAGAAAACAGTCAAATGTGAAGCTAAAATCTGGTTCCAGTTCCCATTTCTCAGATTTCCTCTAACTTTGCCAGCAAGTCATTTAGGAGAAGATCTAGAGACCTACTTATATCCCAAAACTAAACTTCAGCCTAGTGGCTAGAGTACATGCTGGGATCTCTCCCACTCTCAGAGACCAAATTTCTCTGGATTTTGAGGTCTTTCATCATGTCCCCAAAAGTTTGACTCATGCCCCATTCTCTTTGCTATCAGTTTGGTGCCCAGATGAACATTTTAGGCAGAGAACTCAGCACTACCCGTGAGAAGGAAGATTTTCTCACTATTTTGTGCTGTGGCATTTATGAGAAGCATGGGCGTGGCTGCCCTCCATCACCACTGGCAGCTGTCTGTTGCCCTCACTGTTCCTTTCCACCTCTTCCCCTCTCGTTTTCCAGCAAGGCTTCTGCATCTGCAATGCATTTTCTACCCACTGGGCTAATGAGCTCTGTGTTGCCAAAGCTGCCTGGAACTTCTTAATTTCCCCCTGGTTTATGAATGGAAATATGCTGCTTCCTCCCGCTCCTTGCTCATCAGTGAACACTCTACTTTGCATCTCACTTGACTCTGGCTCCTGCTGCAGAGAAAATATCATTACTTACCAGCAGTGCAAAGCCCCCCACCAGCCCTGCTCATATACCCTGAAGCCTATTCTATAAATACAAAGAATCTGTTTCAAAACTGAATTTGCAAATCCAAAGAAAATCTGCAGTCAATTAAAAGCA